AGGGCCTTTCTGAGTGGAGTTTGCCTGTTCTCCCCGCGTCTGCGTAGGTTTCCTCCGGGTGCTCCGGTTTCCTCCGGGTGCTCCGGTTTCCCCTACCACTAAAAACATGTACAATAGGTCTGGCATGCGCCTCCTGTACTGGTGACCCCGCTCCCATCTCTGTGTGGAGTGAGGGGACAAAATTCCCAAAAAATAACAACTGTAGACTGCTTTGTGACACTGGTCTGTGAAAGGCGGTATATGAATAAAGATTACTTACTTACTTTTTTTACAGCATTGCTTTTACTTTGGAACTTTCCCAGCCCAGGCGCTCCTCCAGCGTTCCCAAAGTCAGGAGGACACACACTCACGCTGAGGTATGGGGGAAGTTTGGAGCCTTGGTTTGATCCTTTTTTTTTTTATTCTGTTTTGAACAACTCTTCGATCTTATCTAATCCCACTAGAGTGCTTCTTTTGCGTCTGAAATGGAAGAAAATAGAGGACATTTGGATTCTCTGGACTGAGACATTCTTATATATAAATTCAAACGTATAACCAAACATATTTTTAAGAGCTGGAGTGAACCCTGAATTTTTTCCACAACATCAAAAGAAAAAAATCTTCTCTGGACTCAGTGCCTCTCCTCCTCTGGCATCAGGCTCCAATTCAGGTTCTTGGACCTGGTGGAACCTCAGGTTCATGTCTCCTCTGGTTCCTGTGTCATACCCTGTGTCTGCAGGCGGCTCTCTGCTCGTTTTGCAGACGGCTCCTCAGATGGTGCTTCCTCTGCTGGTTTCACCCGCACTCAACCTCATGTTTTTATGGTTTTCATTTTGAGAATGTGGGTCTGTGTAGTGGTTGGATTATGGGTCAATGTGCAGGTGGGACTGTTGTGTAAAGCTATAAAGCACTTGTTATGTTGTTTGTATACTTGATAAATTAAGTTTGTTTGATTGAACAATCACAAATTATAGATGCTTTTTGAGTAAGTAAGCAACCTTTATTCATGTAGCACATTCCACAGATCTGGGACGGTGCCATTGGAGTGGCAGACCAGGGTGATGGTCCCTCTCTACAAGAAGGGGGGGCCGTAGGGTGTTCCAATTATTGTGGGATCACACTCCTCAGCCTCCCCGGTAAGGTCTACTCCAAGGTACTGGAGAGGAGGCTACGGCCGATGGTCAAATCTCGGATTCAGGAGGAGCAGTGGGGTTTTCGTCCCGGCCGCGGAACACTGGACCAGCTCTAAACTCTCCATCGGATTCGCCCAACCTGTCCACATGTGCTTTGTGGATTTTGAGAAGGCGTTCGACCGTGTTCCCCGGAGTGTTCTTTGGGAGGGTTCTCCGGGAGTACAAGGTCCGGGGTCCTCTGCTGAGGGCCGTCGGGTCCCTGTATGACCGGAGCCAGAGCTGTGTTCGCATCGCCGGCAGTAAGTCAGACCTGTTCCCGGTGCATGTTAGCCTCCGCCAGGGCTGCCCTTTGTCACCGGTTCTGTTCACTGTATTTATGGACAGAATTTCTAGGCACAGCCAGCGGTGGGGTTCGGTTCGGGGACCACAGGATTTCATCCCTGCTGTTTGCGGACAATGTTGTCCTGTTGGCTCCAACGAACCAAGACCTGCAACATGCACTGGGACGGTTTGCAGCCGAGTGTGAAGCGGCTGGGATGAGAATCAGCTCCTTCAAATCCGAGGCTATGGTGCTCGGCTGGAAAAAGGTGCCTTGCACTCTCCTGGTAGGTGGAGAGGTCATTCCTCACGTGGAGGAGTTCAAGTATCTCGGGGTCTTGTTCACGAGTGAGGGAAGGATGGAGCGTGAGATTGACAGGCGGATCAGTGCTGCGTTGTGGTAAGGAGGGAGCTGAGCCGAAAGGCAAAGCTCTCGATTTACCGGTCAATCTTTGTTCCCTCCCTCACCTATGGTCATGAGCTTTGGGTAATGACCGAAAGAACGAGATCGCGGATACAAGCGGTCAAAATGAGCTTCCTCCGCGGAGTGGCTGGGCGCTCCCTTAGAGATAGGGTGAGGAGCTCAGTCACACGGGAGGAGCTCGGAGTAGAGCCGCTGCTTCTCCACGTCGAGAGGAACTAGTTGAGGTGGCTCGGGCATCTGTTCCGGATGCCTCCTGGACGCCTCCATGGGGAGGTGTTCCGGGCACGTTCCACCGGGAGGAGACCCCGCGGAAGACCCAGGACACGCCGGAGGGACTCTCTCAGCTGGCCTGGGAACGCCTTGGGGTCCCCCCGGACGAGCTGGAGGAAGTGTGTGTGGATAGGGAAGTCTGGGCGTCTCTGCTTAGACTGCTGCCCCCGCGACCCGGCAACGGATGAAGCGGAAGAAAATGGATGGATAGATGGCATTTCACGGAGCAGGGTCACAATGTGAATGTATGCAAATGTAAACTCTACATTTTCATACACTCACATTGTAAAGCACTTTTAAAAAAGCATTTTTTTTTGTATTTTTTAGATGCATCACTTTGAAAAAGTGGTAAACCATTTGCATTTCAACTGCTTGATTGAAAAAATAAAGCGTTGATAGATAGATGGATATATATTTTATTACTTTATTGATCCCTGTAGGAGGAATTCAGGTGATAATGCGCATCTGCTGCTGGAGAACATAAATCATAACTCAAACATTTCTAACTAACTAACATTTCGTTAGTTTAACTCTGGCAGCCGAAGGAACAAAGGATTTCTTAATGCAACATTAAAGGTGTATCGATGTCTGACAGTACAGTTAGACATACAGTCACACTATACAGTAAAGGCTGTTTTAATGGTAATGTTCTGAAGTGATGTGAACGCGACCTTTGAGTTGTCTTTGTCCACTCGCAGGTGTGAAAGAGACGTGAAGGTCAGAGAAATGTGTCACATGGACCCACAGTCTCCATCTGAAAGTGCATCCATGGCGACGGCTCAAACGCCTCTCCCATTGGTTGACTGTGATGATGATGCATTAGTCATAAGGCCCCTTTTCAGAGACCATCAAAGTTGTTTAATAATTTCATTTGCTCTCCAACAAATTCAACCCTGGAATAGAAAAAGAAGATCATATATAATCCCGCCGGAGTGCACCTCATGTATTTGTACAAAATAAAATAAAAGGACCATTGGATTCTTTGGACTGAGTTAAAAGTACATCTGAAATGCAACAATTTTTTGCAAGGTGTGCAATGTTTATTTTATAATTAACTCAATAGAATAGAGGCAGATATTATTTTCATTAATAAATTGTTCGCTTACAGTGAATAAAACAAATATTTTGATGTAGTACCATGTCTTTGTCGGAGGGACTTATGGATTTTCTAGGACCCTGGAAGAGAAGGTGGACCTAAATAACGACTTCAATTATAGAATTTTGTATCAACACTGAAGTTAAAAACTCCAAAACTACACACAAAATCATGCATATTTGTGTAAATGTGCATAAATGTGTAAGTGGAACAGATTGCTCGGGCTCTCTTGGTCACAGCTCTCTCTGCAGTGGTGCCCTCTGACCTTGTGTCTTATCAATGGTGAAGGAAAAGATGAGGAAAAAACGGAGAAGCATGAACATCTTGAGTGCACATTCACATCAATGTCAAACCACCACTGGGTAAAACAGACACTTTAAACACTTTCAGTACATTATGTTTTTAGTAACATTGTATGTACTATATTATTTTTGCTAATACAACATGTGAAATAGTTTTCCAAGACATTTGATGCAACTTGAGGCCCATCTTACTCATTCCTCATTTGTTTCTGCCTGTTTTCTCACTGCCATTGCTGTGCCCTCTGTGTTCACAATATAGTATTAACTGTTTGCATTTCTAGGTCTCCATGGAGACTTAGAGATGCAAACAGATCTAGTTACGGGTCAGAAGCCTGGACAGGATGAGTGTCTCAAAAACGATGAAAACATTTGTAAAAACTCTGTTGTGCGCCTCCATCGTGAGAATGTTTTTGCTAATATTATTTCTATTACCTATGACAAAATTTTAGGAAGTAAGCCTTGTGAATTATTTATCACTTTCCACAAAGTCATTATTATCACACTCACCACAGACTACTGGACAGACTTCATCACATCACATTGTTTGGATCCTACAATGTGATGTAGGATCCAAACAATGGATCCTACATCACAGTGTACCGAGTGAAGCGGTCCCTAAACCCTGTACCATAATTTTGACATTCTACAAAGCCAGAAATGCAATTTCAGACAGTGAACTATATATATATATATATATATATATATATATATATATATATATATATATATATATATATATATATATATATATATATATATATATATATATATATATATATATATATATATATATATATATATATATATATATTACACAATGTATGTAAACTCGACTTTTACAATACAGGATCTCTCCATGGATCTCCTGGCCCCTGGAAGTGGTGGAATGACTTAACTAGGGCACCATTCTCCAGGAGCTTTGGAATTACACATTCCGTTCTTAGAATGGCTTGCTGTTTTTAAAGTATTTTCTTTAAATATGGTCATGGTTCTTATTTTTGTTGTTGAGAATTATACTGACCTGGTTAGCAATGTAAAGCGCACTTCTTTTGTTACAAATTATGATGTTATAGGTCTGTACAATTTTCAACGGTGTTTGCACTAGTAATATCCCTTATACTTTTTCTCAAACATTTTGTTTAGTTTTTTCCATGCCAGGCAGAACGTACGCGATGACGTTGGAAATATTTGGGAGTGGGCGTGGCCTGCGCTGCTGTTAGTCTAAAATGCTACATGCTACCATGCTAAAGTTTCTACTTTCACTTTGTGACTGTCCCGGATAAACAAGCGCCTTCTGGATAAACGAAACTAAGGACTGTCAACGCTGTTCCGTAGCGATCCCGCAGGGCAGCAAATGTACATAATAGATTATAGTTCTGTACGATTTCACTTCTTTTAGATTATTGTTTGTAAAGTTTACGTTGCTAGCTGTCAACAGTGTTGCGTGTGTGGTTAGCTCTTAGCCGTTAGCCGTTAGCATGGACAGCGGCGGAAACATGCGAAGTAACGAGGAGAGGGGCGCAGAGAAACACATGGATGACTACCTCAAATCTATCGGCCTGCAGCGTAAGAAGATCGCCAAAGATGGGTCGTGCTTGTTTCGGGCCGTGGCGGAACAGGTACAACCATTAACACAACTATTAGCTCTGACTTTGGGAGCTATTTACTGCGTGACTGTTATGAAAATGCCACACTCGCGTCATTCCGCCTGTGCCAGCCATCAATGCAAAATGAGAGGTAATATAAGTTAAGCTTTTGTTTGACCGAACACCAACGGTCTACTGTAAAATAAAGAAAAGCAAAAGAATGTTCTGCTAATCTATTAACTATAATGATCTGGATTAATTAAAGCTACCGTCTGTAATTTCTAAAAGGTGATTAGTGTAGACTGTTGCGCTAAATTTCCATTGAGATAAGTCTAACCCTGGATTGAGACTCAGGAGGGACGAATGTTTGTCTCATTGCTTAACATGGGTGTGGTGTTGGCCTGTCAGGTTCACTAATGCCGTAGATCTGAATATTGAAACTATAAATGCTAAAAAATAATCTAGTATTAAGTAATTTTTCAACACATAATAGTTAAGTTATTAAATATTACATGACCAAATCATAAACCTGTTCCAAAGAATTGCAACATATGTCTGTTGTTATTAACACCCCAAAATGAATAAAATCCATCCATTATGAAATGTTTGTGTAGATATAGATATGAAATGTAGATGTGAATGTAGATCGTAATTATTGTGACAAGCCTTGGTGTGTAATGTGTGCAGTTAAAGTATCAGTGCAGAAAGAAAAGTAAAGCGGTTTATTTAATTAAGTTCCAATCTGAAAATAGCAATAAGGCAAGGCAAGTTTATTTGTTTACCTGGATGGCATAACAAAACCAAGAAAGCAAATTCAATGCATAAACAATCAATGTACAAACTTTTTTTTTCTGAACATAAACTCCAAAAATTACAACCAAACCACATTTATTGACAAAGGATTGACTGTCTTTTACAGTCTTTATTCAACCCAAGAGACTGAGACCCTTTTGGCATTGAAGGATCCATAGCAGAAGTGGATTAGCATTAGAAATGACACAACTGAATCTCAATCTTGTCTGTCTCACAGGTGCTGCATTGCCAAAGCCTTCACTTACAGGTTCGACACAAATGTGTGGAGTTTCTGAGGAAAAATCGCCAGAGTTACGAAGCTGTAGGTATCATTACGTCATGTTTTTGGCCCTTGTTTTATGTCACTGCTGCTGAACACTGATATTTTTATTTTAGTTCATCGAAGGAGACTTTGAGGAGTATTTGCACAAACTACGGGATCCGCAGGTGATTCATTTCTTTGTCTCACAACCTTTTCATTTGCTTTTCATTCAGTCCTTCATAACTTTCATATCTGCTGTTGCTTTCTTTCAGCAATGGGTCGGGGAGGTGGAGATCAATGCGCTGGCTATTATGTACCAGTAAGAAAAATATTATACTGAGATAAATTAATCTAAACTAAATATGAATTGTAAACAAAATAATTATATTAAAATAATCTGTGTGTATGTGCGCTGCAGCATCAACATTTCCCTACATGTGTTGGAAAAGATTTATTCTATTGATAACTTGATAGATTAGAGGCAGATATTATTTTCATTCATAAAGTGTTACCTTACGGTGAATTAAACTAACATTTTGATGTACTTCCCATGTCTTTGTAGGAGGGACTTTTGGATTTTCCAGGACCCTGGGAAAGCTGCTGTCAACATCACAGCCAACGACTTCAAAGACAAGGTAAGACTGAAGGGAAAGTTACGAATAAAAATGGGAATTTCTTTTGCAAAGATTTGAAATTTTAGACTATTGAGGATATTATCTGTAAATGAGATGGAGAAACATGTGATTTCTACCAGACAAGAGTCAACTATTTTTTGTCCCTGACTTTTGTGGTTCACTTTTTGTACCATTTTGACATTTACAAACATATTTAAAAATTATTCCAAAACCATTTTTGGTTAAAAAAAATCATTGATAACTTATTCATTTGAGTAAAGTGTAATCTATCTATTGTTATGTCTGGCCCCAGGTGCAGCTGTGTTTTCTGAACGGTAACCACTATGACAGCGTGTATCCACTCAGCCGCATCCGGAACTCTGCCGTCTGCCAATGTGAGTGGTAATGACAATGGTTGAAATTATTCTGGATTTGGATTGCTGGACTTTTGGGTCAGACTTGATATTGTTGATTACACGTTGAAAATGTAGTTAGTTTATTATTATTTCTTTGCATGAAATAGTCGTGTTGACTAATGACTAAAAGTAGAAGAAAAATAGAAAAAAACAAGTACAAATGGAATGCAAAAATGTTAAATTTACTCTTAAAGTATGTTGTTTTTATCTTTGCTCATAAAATTATTGTATAGTCTCGAGTTGTGCAACACAGTTTGACAGTTTCGGCTTGTATAAATTATAAATCAGAATGAATTTGGAATGAGAAAATAATGCTTCTCCCCGGCATCAAGACGAAAGATACTGGCTTGTTCCATTGACAAGTTCAAGAGACATTTTCACAAATTTAAGACAGTTTTTTATCTTTTGATAGTTGCAGTCTATGCGATTTTCTAATTTTGACCATGAAAAACGGATTCTAATCCTCTGGTTGTCAGCGATCCTGTACGAGCTGCTGTATGATAAAGTCTTCGCCGTGGACCACAATCTGTTGGGGGTTTGTCAGAGGTCCGCCAAGTCCTCGGACTTTCTCATCGACGACGTCATGGCGGCCTGTCCCAGCAGCGAGGAGTCGGACAACGAGGCGGACGCGCTCAGGTCACTAACAAATTACATCTCATTAGCGAACACATCACCTACCTTACATTTTCTTTTATTAAACCCAAATGAAAAAAAGTCTTGGGAAAGTAAAAATGCGTGAAGAAATCAGACCATCTCCATCTTATTTGAAAAAAAAACAGATTTCATTGCTTCTTCTCTCACTGTTTGACAAGTTGTGTACCCAAGCTTGAAATTGATCCAGCATTTATGAGTTTGTGTGTTGTTTGCATGTTCTCCCCATGTCTGCATAGGTTTCTTCCTGACGCTCCGGTTTGTGTTACCACTAAATCTACTTGCAATAGTTCAGGGTGAATGAGTGCGACTGTGGGACAGTGGAGGGACATTACAATCCTGTGTCCTCCATTAACTGCATCAGATGGGCCTTCATGCACACTGTCTTGTTCAAACAAATAACAGATTTTAGACATTTTAGATTTTTTTTATTTGATTTAGATTTTGAGACTCATCTTTATTTTTTATCCATGGTTTTGGAATGTTGAAAATATCTGTTTTGTTCAAGTTTGCAATAATTTTCTTAAGGGTCTATGTCACACCCAAAGAACCAAATGAAAACGAGCTTCAAGCAGTCGCACTAGATGCAAGATGCAGCTCAATGGTTCCTTTTCAAAAATGTGCTTTGACATAAGATCAACCCTTCACTCCTGCGTTTGTCTTGTTGCATTCAGGCCAGAGAACGAGACCTGTGCATCTATTGTCAAATCAAAGGTAAGAAAAGCTCCACTAATGTCATGTGTGTGGTTACCTACTTGAACCGTTCATGACCGGGTCCTGTTCCCAGGGTCGCGGTCGCGGTCGGCAGCTGTCCGAGCGAGTGAAGCGGTCCCTGAACCCGACTCTGCTCCGGAACGTTCAGTACGACGTGTGGCACCGCTCCAAGAAAGGTGAAAACTAACATTACTCTCATGAAGGCTTTCAAAGGATCAAAACTATGACCACAAATCAGTTCTAAAACTATGTAGTCTCGAGTCAATCAGATTATTTTTTTTGCCGTTTTAAGTAACAGGAAGTCAGTAACGAGGACTTTGCTTGGGTATATGGTGCAAACAAGTTTTTAAAAAGTAAAAAAATAATGGATATAAAGGCATGCATATAGACCATTTCAGAAAGAATCTATACTGAAAAAAACTGACAAACTGAGAAAATCTGAGCAGTTTTGACGGTGATCTCTGAACTAATGTAAAGCCTTGTTGTACAATTTTTTTTTTTTTTTTTTTTTTTTTACTATAATGTATGTTAAAAATGGCAGCTTGTCCAGATTATCACTGGTTTATCAATTGTTATCGTATGCTAATAGTCTATCTCTTTTTATGGGAATCAAGTTTATAATTTTAGTCTTGTGACAACACTAACTCTACTATGTGTGGGCTTATACTTTTATGTATTCTATATCCTTTTGCTGCTTTTTGAAAGTCAACTTTTTTCCTAAATAGGTTTGTGACCAGGGAATCTTTGACATGAGGCCCTAGTGCTGTAACTCGTATCACACCTACCATATTAAAAGTAAGACAGGTTTGACACATACTTTGGCAACATCCACATATGTGTCAAACCTTTCTTACTTTCAGTGTAACTATAGGTTTCAATGATTTCATCTTAATTGATCATTTACAAAAGACAAACATAAATTTGAGAATTGCCAGGTTTTGTCCACACATATACTTTTTGTTTTATCTACACAAAACCATATTCCGGTGTTTTTGTTCAAGTCTGTCATTTACATTTTAGATTTGCTCTGTGAGAAACATTAAAACCTAAAAGCACAAAAAGGCAGAATGTGAAATAACAAACATTGAAACACTTCTATTTCAGCTCAGCAGAAGATGGACTTCTGTATTGCGTCTGGAATGCAGTACAACGTGGGGGACCGCTGCAAGGTCTGTGCCACTTTGTTTAATGTGATTACAAAGCCCTCATATACATGTTCTTACAACAGGACTTTTTTGTGTCAGGTGCGAGTCGAGGCCAGTGGCGAGGTCGTGAGCGCCACGGTGAAAATGTTGTCTCCAGACAGCAACGGCCCAGTGACCGTTTTCAACGACAACTTTGGAGAAATGTATGTAACAATAGATTTTAATGATCCTTCTGTATTATTACTTTTGACTTTGGCCATAAGTAAGAATATAATTGGAGCAACGAGCATGTAAGCAGCTTCCCTGTTCATAATTGTGTTTCTAAAGTAAAGTTCCGGTGTGGAAGCTGCGTCCGCCCACAGACAGCACCTGGAGCACTGTGGTCCGGGAGAAAAAGGTCAACAACGGAACTGGAGGTGAGGACAGAAACAGACATTTAAAGCTGCTCTATGTAACATCGTCTGACAACATGGACTTAGTATCTATTAGATATGACTTCACAGGGAGAATTCCAGAGGTTTCCTGCACGGTTTTCCCTCTTTGAATACATACAAGAAGTCATACTAGATGCCCACACATTTCAAACACAAAGTTGTTTTTTTCCATAGAAATAAAAAATCACTGCAAAAATTAAAAATATGTATATAAAACATTCATTAAAATAACCTAAAATCAATAGAAATGTTCACAAATTAATCCATTTTTTTTTCTCTAAAGAACTTGTCTATTCAAATAATTGCAGTCTATGATTTTTTTGTTGTGTCCATGAATATTGCAAATATTTGTGCAGCCCTAGTTCCAAGTCCCCCAAAATGCTAACTTTGCTGGCCTCCTGGTGCCGTCTCCTCGTTTTTAGTCACAGAGCCTGGTTTTGTGTTGCAGAGTGGGAGCACCGGGGCAGAGGCCGAGGTAGATCTTCCACTGCTCCTCCCAGCGTGCCTCAGACCACAGCGCCACCTGCAGGAAGAGGAGCGAAGCCGCAGTCGTGGCCCCAGCCGCCTCCCGCAGAGGAGCGAGAGCCAACAAACACGTGAGCTCACCTTCTCATAGAACACGCTTATTTCAGTAAGAAATGTGTAAAGTCCTGTTTATTGTTTTGCAGTAAGTCAGAGCCGCTGTGGTTTGGTCTGTCGAGCCAGCAACGTATGGCCAAAGAGGAAGAGGAAAAAAGTGCAGCTTTAGTGGAGCTGCAGTTTCCCGACGACCGGAGCTTTCCTGCCCTCAGTGTAAGTTCATTTCAATTCAAAGTATTCTTGTAGAGTCCTAAATCACAACAGTAGTTATCTTGGGAGGACTTTACACAACCGTTGAATTCGCCAACACAGATCAGAGACTGAAACAGTTCAAACACAAGAAATGCAATGATTTACAAAACACATAGAGCCATAAAGGGCAGATGACCAATGTCCATAAATGTTGATAAATGTTGTTGAAAGTCGAGTGTCCTGGATCATCACCACTGTCCTTGGACCCTCCTGCATCAGCAAGGAAAAAACTCTAATAAAAAAGAAAACCCAGTGGGAAAAAATGTGAAACCACTACGCCCCCATTGAGGGAGGGATCCGCTCCCACGCTTCATCCTGCTCCTCGCAAATCAAACTGAAAACCTGGATTGGGCTTATCTGCTTTATAATATATTATTTGTTTCAAGAAACAACCTGCAACTGTACAAAGCTTGAGGAAGAACATGTGTATCGCAATAAAAGAAATGTCAGAAAGATTGGCCCTATGCCCAAATCTCAATGAAGTCCTACCACCAAAACTGGGTTTTCGACAAGCACCATTCCTTTTGTGTGACAAAGTTGATGAAATCTCACATTCTGAAGACTTGGTACATTTAGTTTTATCTTTGTCATATTGTAAATTGCATCACCATAGACTGCATTTTTTTGTATCCTTATAATGATATTGTAATGTTTCATAAGGCGCACGCACTTGAGTCTCATTGTTTATGTCCCTAAAAGCAGAATTGTTCATATTCGAGACGTTATTTAATTTATATTTGTGAAATCCTTGCCAGGCTCAGACCGTAGCTCAGAGCGAAGGAGTGAAGAAGAAGGGAGTCGACAAGAGACGCTCACAGAAAAACTCTACCAGGGTAAATCTTCCCTTTGTCCCTTTTCTGCCGTTCCATCTGTGATCATGGATAGAACGATATGTAAAGGAGTAAATATGATTAGCTTTGTGTTCATGTTGCTTTTTCCATGTTTTTCAGAGGAGTCCAGTTGAGGAAGCAGTACCTGTGTCCTCTACTGGAGACGCCCCCAAAGGCACATCTCTTCCTCCCTCCTCTCCGTCTCCTCCCGTCTCTGCTGCCTCTCAACCAAACGTGCCCCGTCAGTCGACCTCTGCTCCTCTGCCCCTTGCCCCCAAAACCTCAACGCCCAGTTTAGTCCCTTTGTCCGCGTCCAGTTTCTCTTTCGTGACCCCCGTTCTCCCGGCCGCATCAAACTCCTCCTCGTATCCTCAACTGGGTCCTAAGTCCTCATCTCCTCCCACCTTCATTGCTCCCATCGCCCCGTCTCCCACTCAGGGTCTGATCGCTCGGACCACACCGAGTCCTCCAGCAAGCGCCCCCACTCTCACCCACAACCCCCCACCGGCGAAGGATGTCCCAGCCCCCATGCTCACAAGTAAGAGCTGTATGTTTGCTTTGGAGGCTGGATCTGAATATTGTATGTCATAGCAAAAGTAAACTCATACGTGCATTATGTTGTATCTTTGATTTCTCAAAGATTTGTTGATGTTTCAGATTTTTAAATATTCTAAGTGCGCAAATTGTGATTTCGATTCGATTGTAAATTAAATAGCTGTTTCAAGAAAGTGTTTACTTTATAAAATTATCAGACATAATCACAAGTTAAGTTTCTGACCATAGCTCACCGGTGAAACTTTTTTATCTGGATTTTTCAAGCTGCATTTCATAATTATCAAATTTATTACAAATAAAGTAGATGACTAATATATGATGTTAAATTTAACTTTTCTGTTCTTCATCACAGGTCATTTGAAGACAACATCTCGCAGTGATGCTCCTGAGCCTCCAAACCTGATCCAGCATATCCCAGTCCAGGTCCCTGCCCAGGTCCCTGCTCAGGTCCCTGCCCAGGTCCCTGCTCAGGTCCCAGTCCAGGTCCCTGCTCAGGTCCCAGTCCAGGTCCCTGCTCAGGTCCCAGTCCAGGTCCCAGTCCAGGTCCCAGTCCAGGTCCCAGTCCAGGTCCCAGTCCAGGTCCCTGCTCAAACTCCAGTCCCGGTCCAGGTCCCAGCTCAACCTCCAGTCCAGACTCGTGAGCAGATCCCAGTCCAGGTTCCAATCCAGACAACTATCCAGAATCAAGACCTGATCCAGGCTCCTCCTCGTCAGGTCCTGCCCACGATCCCACACCACCAAACCCTCCCAATTCAAAGCTCTCCTCCTTCACATCCCGTTCCCTTCCAAGCCCCCTCCTCATATCCATCTTCCCTACCCCCACACGAGGGCAATTTCTCCCACCTGCCTCCCGCCTCCCCGTTGGCCTCGCAGACCCACACGGAGCCGCTCAAGTCAGGCTCTCCTCCGGACCATGCCCCCCCTCCGGTCCAGCACCAGTACCTGCCTCACGTCACCCCGATGCAGCAGCAGTTAGCTCAAATCTACCAGGACCCTCTGTACCCGGGCTTTCCCAAAGGAGACGATGGCCAGATCATGCCCACCCCGCCCATGTCCACCAGCCAATCAGGAGACGACCTGCCACGAGGTGAGAGCAGAGCAACACTTTAGGATCGGGTCTCAAAACTAGCAGCTGTATGTGATTTTTGCAGTTCAGTGTTTTACATGATACAAACACTTGCATCTGTGCAACGTACTGGTGTTGGACATGTTAATATACATGCAATCAAATCTACATAGCATCTTACTTATCTAAACTTTACCACATGTATTTGTATATGTTGTAGTGGTCACAGGACACTTCATCTACATCTTCATCTATTTTTATATAAAGTTTTAAGATGAAAATCAGGGAGTCTTAAGTTGGGCATGAAGAAAAAAAAACTAGTCTTTAAATCATTACTGTTTTGAATTGTGTGCTTCAATGGGTGTTGCAAGCTTGTTTAGGCATCAATTCATCTCAAACGTTATTTGAATACTGCACGTTATCTTTTGCATATACTATTTGACTACAGAGAGCCAATTGTCTGAGCAAAGGTGTCTCGTTTGTTCAAATGCCTGAAAACGTTGATCTAAAGATGTGCCGTGCTTTCCACAGCTTTAACTAATTGCTCGACTCTCTTTCCAGACACTAACGTTCTGAGATTCTTCTTCAACCTTGGAATTCAGGTAAAAACTAGTCTAAAAACCTTTTAGATACTATTACCCATCAAACAAACCAAATCAAATTATGCATTTTCTCTTCGTTCTTCTCCTTGTTTTATTCAGGCGTACGCGTTACCGATGCACGCACCGATCATATACCTTATGGCTCTGCAGCAGGCACATACTGTGCAGCAGTCCCACGCTTTACAACAACAGTCTCATTCCCTGCAGCAGTCCCAAGCTTTACATCAGTCCCAAGCTTTACATCAGTCCCAAGCTTTACAGCAGTCTCACCCTCTACAGCAGTCCCATTCCCTGCAGCAGTCCCACTCGTTACCTCCTGGAGTCCCATCTCGCTCCCCCTCTCCTGTCTGCCCTCCCCATGAGCCTTACCACTCCTACAATCCAGCCCCAAACGCCCGCCAACCCTCCTATCACCCTCCCGAACACTCCACTCCTCCTCCCGCTCCCGTCTACAACCTGGAAACCTCCCATGCACCGTACAACCCCACCACCTTTGAGTCCAATCCGCACCACGGCTCGTACACCGCCGCGTATGCCCCTGCCCCGCCGCACGTGCAGTGGCAGCACCAGCACACAAACCAAGCGTATCCTGCCGCCAACTACCCATACAGCCAGTCTTACTACCAGAACCACGCTCACCATCATAACCAGGGGCTAGTAGAGCAGCAGCAGCAGCAACAGCAGCAGCCACCCGCCAACGGTGACGCGCGGCTGGGGATGAGGCTGGCCCGGCTCCCAGGGGCTCTGGACGCACCGGAGTCCGGGGGGAGTATGAACGGGGGACATATGACCATGCAGCCCGCAGTGACGAGCTTCGGTACGTGTTTAAGTTTGTTTGTCCAGTCCCTGAAAGTTCTTTAAAGGGTGGAGTAGCCGTGCCACATAAGCATAGACTGTATATAGGAAAGGACAATGCTAACCTGCTAGCTCTATGAAGGCTAACAGGGAAGTGTTATGGGAGAAGTTTTGCATTGTAGTAAACGCTTGCAGATCTCTCTCTGTAACCTTTTGTCTCACCATTATGAGCTCAGAAATCAATGGTTTAACTCTCTGTCTGATCTTGGTGTGTTTTTATTTGTTTATGTATTTGCACTTCCAGTTGTGAGCCTCAACTATTGACCAATCAGGTGCCTTCTGTCCCTCAAATCAACTTTGGCCAGCGAAATAGCGCAAGCAGAAACAGTTTGGTTCTTTGGTTGCTAGGTCGTTACCAGCCACAAATTTGGCTCCAGATTTCTGCCCATAGTGCCTGTTTGAATCACCTTTTTCCACAATAAGGCAAACCTTTTGGTGAGGTCAGCAGTTGGTTAGTCGCCTCCTTCTACAAGTCCAGTGTGGCGGGAGGAGGAGGAGAGATTGCGCTTGCGGTCCTTGATCTTTATCCATCATTTGAATTCTGTTGATTTGAAACAATAAACGAATGACTTTGTTTTTCAGGTCACTTGAACCATGAAGTTAGGGAGAACATGATGTTGCTGGTGGACCCTCCTCTGGACAAACCTATTGTGAGTTTTTCAGACTTTATTTCAAGTCATTCCTTTTGCTGAAGAGAGTTCAAACGTAGTGGAAGGCCAAGTATTATCTGTACTTTCTGTGTGTAGTTTGCATGTTCTTTCCATGTCTGGGTGGGTTTCCTACAGACCCAACATTCAAACCAGAAATGTTTTTAAAAGTTATTGAAAGAGTCGAGTCCGATTCAAGACATTTGTTGCCCCAATTTAGTAAGTTAGTAAGTAAGATCAAATCAGACTCAGAAAGGTCCAGTTTTAGACCTGGTTTACAAGATGGGTTTTGAAAATTATTTGCTCAGGTGTTTTCTCATTTTCTTCTTGTAAAGTGTTGAATAACTATTGACTAAAATTGTGTCTTTGCTGTAGCCTTTTTAAATGTAGAAATATACATACTCATTGGGCCTCATTCACGAATAACTTCGTAAGAAACTACTCAACTTTCTTCTCAAGTTGTCCTTAAGTAGATTTCTAAGAAGTCCCCACGTGGGATTCATCAACGCGCTCTTAAGCCGCTGAATTGTTCGCAGCTGTTCTCTCAGATTGATGAATCCCATTTCCTCGTAAGTACAGCGCGCGTGCCAGGTGCTTCATTAGCATAGGTACTTAGCATAGTAACCGCCCACTAATGCCCATATAAGGGACTGCAGGGCCGTGTGCAGACGGCTGAGGAAACAGCAACAGGCCTTTACACGAGCAAAAGAGTCACCCTTTTTTCTTCTTTTACCAGACTGAGAATAAAGTTATAAAATGTTGACTTAAAAGTCGAAATATTATGATAATAAAGTCAAACTAGCAAAATTATGAGATTAATCTAAGAATATGATGAGATTAATCTAAAATGTTATGAGCTTAATTTAAAAATATATTATGTATTATTTTAAAGATGAATCTCAAAATGTTTTGAGATTAATCTCAAAATATTTTGGACCCTGGGAGGAGATCCAGCGCGGACCAGCGCTGAGACCAATGCAGACCCGAGGAGAGACTGGAGTGACCAGCACACACCTATAGGAGAGACCGCATAGACTGTAGTGACCTGACTGGAGAGACCGCATAGACTGGAGTGACCTGACTGGAGAGACCGGTGCGCAGAGACCAGCGCGGACCGAAGATAGACCGCATAGACCAGACTTGAGAGACCAGCGCGGACCCGTATGGATCCAGGAGCATGCAGCACGGACCCGTATGGAGAGACCAGTGCAGACCCGTATAGATCCATGGGAGAGACCAGCGCAGACCCGTATAGATCCATAGGAGAGACCAGCGCAGAGACTCAGCGCGGACCCAGTAACCTCCTGCAGCAGCAGTATATATGCCGTTGTTCTGTGGCCCGTGGATAAAGAAATGCCCCCTATAAATAGGAAGGGGTCACTAATACACGGCAAGATTTCCAATGTATTTGATAAAGCGTTGGCACATTTCATTTCAAAATGAATTAAAAAGTAGGCCAGATCTGCAGTGAAAAAGGCGGTATATAAATAAAGATTACTAATAAAGATTACTACAAATAAATAAATACATACATCGATATGACGGACATATCACTGGAATGTTGTATTTTTATTCAACTTCACCAAAGAGGACAACCCCGGCGTGTGAACATGTCGGCACTGAATGCGTACGAGTGCTCCTGAGGACTCGTAGGATTTGTACTTGCCCAAGAGATATTCTGGTTACGAGAAATATTCGTGAATGCCACTTTCTTCGTAAAAACCTCGTAAGTAGGATTTACGTACAAATCTGTTCCTAAGAACCGTTCGTGAATGAGGCCCATTGTCTCTTACATAAATGTAAGGGAAAAAAACAGCTACATTTTTCATCAATTGAAGTATTTTTATACATACAGCGCATTCAGAAGTCTTAATTTTCCAACCACGGTGAACAAAAATTCCTTGCACCTGAAACTTTTTGCTGGCTTGTTCTTGTGTTTCACATCGGTGTCTATGCAGGTGATAAACGTCCCAAAGTGCAGCAGTGGCCCCGGCTCCCCGGCGCTCTACAGCCCCTCCTCGCACCACTCCTCTGACTCCAGCTGCGCGCCGTTCTACATGAAGGCAGCCAATCACAGCGCGCCTCCTTACCACCCATCCAACCACGGCGGCCCATACATGCCGGCGAATCACGGCTCGGCGTTCCTCCAGGCCGAGTCCATGTCGGTGAGCGTGGGGACCACGGACGAGGACTGGAACGATCAAGAGACGCAGAGAGTCCACTTCAGAGGACAGAGGCGCGGGGGGAGGGGCCGAGGCAGAGGGCAGTACAGACCCAGAGGATACTACACCTACAGCAACGGGCAGCAGTACTCGCAGAGGGGAAGCAGGGGGCGCTCGTGAGCTACAGACACAGGTGAGAGACTGCAGCTGTGATTCTCAAACTCTCCGGTCTCTCTCTGGTCCCTCACTCGTCCCTCACTCTGGTCTCTCTCTTGTCCATCAGGACTGACCCAAGTTTAGGAACCAGTTACATTTTATTAAATAGTGTGTTGTAGTTTAGTACCTCAGCTTTAAGTTATCACACATAGAAACAACGTTTTATTTTGACCCAGAAAAGTCCAGTTAAGCAGGTCTAAAGCTGGACTTTTAGACCTGCATTTGGAAGGTACTTGTGTGCAAAGTTGAAAAACCATCAGCCATTAGGCCTGGGTATCAAAAAAGTTACTTTGAATTAAATATGTTCCTAGATTTACTGTGCATGCGGTAAAATACATATTTTTGTCAATAGAACTTTTTGGCCAACATAAACAAGATGCTCAAGCCTCTTCTGGTCATTTAAAACTCTAATTATCCTTTTGTTCCCCTCTCTAGATCTCAATATTTTCATCTCTTTCAACCAAAGAATCTTCCAACTGCTATAAACTGAACTGGATCCATTCGTCCTTTGTTCATGTCAACAATATATCGAATCATTTCTTTTGCTTTGCAACTGTTGCACCTTAAACACTCACAAACATGCCATCTACTTTCTTTTGGAGTCATGTCGGCTGTCAATCACAACCACAGGCGATGAGCAGCCAATAGGAAATGACCTCTGCTCAGTGGGCGGGCCTAAGGAAAGGAAAGGGAATGCTTCCGAAATCTATCATCAATTTGTGGTTAAAATCAAATGGAAAATGACTTAACTTTTAACAGCACTTCCCTGTCATAGTGACGCCTTGTAACACAAACTTCAGGAAGCTTCTTCTCAATGTAAAAAATCACTGGGCATTTGTTTATCGTTAGTCTGTGTATAATTCACTTTATAAATTAGTTTCAGAATATAAAATCCAGTCTCTTCCTTTAGCTCTAGTGAACAAAAACAAACACATATTTTTCCAGCTGTAAATTAGCCATTTTTATCAGGCCTCCAGACTTAAAGATGCACTGTGTAACTTTTTCAGACTTGTGATTGTTCTGCAGTGGCATTTATTCAAACACAAGTGTTTTTATTGCTCAAAAATACAATTTAAATTAACCGTGGCACCATTAGCTTTTGGAGACTATAGCTTTAATGCCTTCGTCTCCATGGAAGCGCGTTAAGGTAGGTCTCTATCTTTGCGTCGCACTTGCAGAAAGCCTCTCTCTCTCTTCGGTCGACACTGTAATCTGTGTGGAATGCTGCTATAGGAATATTCACCTGGGAGATTTTATGCAAGTGAAAAACATTTTTTCTGAGGGATTTCTGCTACAAAACTTTGTAATTTGGTTTCTTTAAAAGATTAAGAAAAATACTGAACAATACTGACGCTGCCTTAAAATGAGAAAAATCTAATAATAAATAAAATTACTTGTGTCTGTGTCTCCATGACGATGGATTAAAGACTTTGAATGTAAAAGCAGACTCCAGATAAAACGAGTCGTATAAACTTTATGAAAAAGATTTGAGCACCTGTCTGTGTTGGTCCTTCTCTTTGTTTACATGCTTTTATTTTGGCGTATTTCTGGTCTTTGGGTCTGTATATATATTTTTTTCATTAATACTTTGTGCCTTGTGGAAAGTTCTTGATTGGAATTAAAACTGCTGTATGTCAAACAAGGGCTGTAAACTTTTTAAACGCTTGAATAAAGAAAACTTGGTTCAAAGATGTCTTTTTGATCAATGGATACAAGAAGGACTGGTTGGACATGAGCAGGAAGAGGAAGTAAAGCAATTATGTGAAACCGGTCAAAACTCAAAAACCCCTACTCAAGAAATAATACCCCTTTTATCTGGTTTCTTGTGCATTAATTCTCGTAGAGGACATAAGTTCCTGTATATTTTAAAATATTTGCAACATTTTGTCACTGACTTAAGCACCAACACTGGTTTCATTATTTCTGCAGGTGAAATACATATGGTGGATTGAGGTGCAGTTATCTAATGCCACTTATGCCTAAACCTGAGTCTTTACAAGAAACACACGAGTTAATCAAAGGCAATATTCAAATTATGGATATTTATGCTCTTAAAACCTTATAAAATGTCAATAATCACAATATACAATAAAACCTGTGAAAAAATCATCAAAACCTAAGCTTCAAATTCAAATTTACTGCCTTCACTTTTGTTGGCAGTGAAGTTGAAGTTGAAATTTAGGGAATATCAATTGACTAATGACTAACTAGAAAATATAACTTCTCACAATAAGAGAAACTCCAGGCAGTTGATAGAAGTTTATTGGCGTAAATGCAAGTGTTAAAATACACCACTTTTAATTCCTGGTTTATGATGAAAGCAGCTCAACTCACAAAAGCACATGTCTGGAGAAGAACCAATATTCTGCAACATTGACCAGAACTTCAGGCTTTCAAACGGTTTCAACAGGTTTCCCTTCTTTCTGAATCATTAAAAATCTACAAATGGTCGTATGAAGTATGACAAAGTAGAAATCTGATGGAAATGGAAGCAAAGTTGCATAAATGATGAAAATATCACCGGTTACGTTTTTATCTCATTTTGAGTTTATTTGGTGGATTTATTTGGTATCAAGGTGAAAAGTTTAAAAATAGATTGGAAATAGTGAATGTAAAAGGTTTGGCACAATTTACATCCCATGACTTTTGAAACAATTTGCAACAGTTTCTTTTAAGTGAAGCAGCAAAATGATAAACCTGTGTGTTCTGGAATGAAATGTGTAGAAAAATAATCATTATGTTGTAAAAAAACATAACTGGGGACCCAACTTTTCCCCCCATAAATAATTCAGTTTGTCCCAACAGATAATATTGTGTAACAGGCCAAAATAGACTAAATGTATCTTACAAAACAGGTCATATTTTGCATACTTGTAAGAATGATCCCTGTGAGTCACTATTTGGCTCTTTAGGCTGAGAGTGAGTGGGCCTCTCTCTTTCACTTTTCCCGATCTGAAGATGAGACAGTGGCCGTAAATAAATGCATGTAAAAACTAGTGATAGAACCAAACAGTTTTGTTAAGATGGTTTTTTATTACACAGTTCTGTTTTTGGAGATGTTAAAATGAGGTTCCCCAGCTTTAATAAAACAGACTGAAGCTTATGAGACGTTTAAAAACCAGAATTGTGCAGAATATTTGATCTTTTCGAACATTTCCGACCATTTCTCTGGCTCCTGAAGGCAGCAGCTCAGGAGCGGCTGCAGAGACATACTGCCAGCATCACGGTGTGTTTATATAGTTTTTATTCATTTACTTCTTTTATAGTTTTCTGTTTCTTTGATTGGGGTCCGAGGAGAGCGTGTGCGCCCTCTGGTGGTGGCCGCGGTGGATGTCAGGTTAAGTCACTGTTGGTTTCACAAGAAGCCTCTCAGTCGTCCAGGAAGAAGTAGTTCCCGCTCTTTTTCTGCTCTGTGTCCTGTTGAAGTTCACAATCGTTAGAAGGTTCAATCCAGACCAAAAAAAGTCTAAAATGCAGCAAGTAGTCGACCTAAAGCTGGGGTACCACCTCGTCAGAATTTTTTAAAGCTTTTACACTTCTCATGTATTTAGGGCTAAAATACAAGTTACAAGAAAAGGTCAATGTTTCTCCAGATCAGTATTTAGCTGTGAAACCAGGTTAAAACAGTTAGCTTAGCATACAACTGAAGGATTGTGTCTTCACCCTTTTTAAAATCATGAATAGTCACTGTATGAACTGTGATATACAAATAAACTATCCTTGCCTTATTTGAGACTGACATTTACAAACCCGTCACATAATTCTTATGTCTGATTGTCCGTTCTTCTAATGCATGCTTTCTGAATATTGTCACCACTTTTAGACCACTTCTTGTGACATTCTTTCTTCCATGTGGATGGTCTCAGGGATTACAGCGGGATTAGCTCTAAACTCAGACTACTGTAGAAAGATGTATCACCTGCACTCCACCCCAAACTTAAACTATTGGCTCATTGGAAGGCTGTGATGTCACATCACGGCCCGTCCCATTTTCTCTGTTTGCAGATTAGCTTCTGCAGTAACCACAGATGTCTCCACAGCTTTTGCCGCCGGCTGAAAAGGGCGTGGACCCAAGCCCGCTTGAGCTACAGACCTTGATGGAGTTTAGTTTGTTGATTCGAGGCCTGAAGTTGTTGGGGTCTCGCCTGAAGGTGATCTCCAGCAGCGACAGGAAGCGGTTCATTCCGGCCAAGAGACTCTGAGGCCTGAGAAGCGGGAAACGGGTCAAACTCATGCAATTCAAGCACATTAAAATGTAGCAGTATGTCAAGTACCGTAATTTCCGAACTATATGCCGCTAATTTTTTCTAGTTCTTTTAAAGGCTTATGTAGCGATGTGGCTATTGTATGTGTTTTTATTGTGGTTAGAGTTGGGCTGAGTTTATGGACTTCATCAAGTTTTAGTAGCTATAAGACACCTGTTTATTGTTATTATAGTCCCGTGAATAAGTCATGGAAGCTAATGTATGAGCTGTGAACCACCTCGTCCTTAGATCATGTTGTAAATAGTGAAATCAGTCTATCTGCTACATTACATCCATCCACCCATTTTCTACCCTTTAATCCATTTCTGGGTCAGGGGGGTGGCAGTCAGAGATGCCACCCAAGTCTCATAGCACCAGCCCCTCACTGATCCTCTGCAGGTGGTGAGTCCACAGGAGGACGGCTGCTCTCTGAGTGTGAGCATAGCCTTGATCTTTCAGTGGGGGCTTTGGGCAAAGTGGGGTTAAGTGTCTTGCCCAAGGACACAACGACAGCAGTCATCAGTGGGAGTCGGTGGAGAAGGTGCAGAGGTGGGAATTGAACCCACGACCTTCTGGCCTTAAGGCCAATGCTCTACCAACTGAGCTACTGTCACCCTTTACATCATCATCATCATCATAATATTCAAGTCTGTGTATGTGGACCAAATGCTGCTGGTGCTGCTCTTATATAGGTGCGCCTAATGGTCCAGAAAGTAGGTATGTGGCTGGATGACATGAGCTGGTCTTACGTGTTGGCTGCAGTGTATTTAGAGGGGATGCCGTCGAACACAATGACTCTGTCGGCGAGGTACGTGGCCATGATGAAGTCGTGCTCCACCACAAACGCAGTCTTCTTGGCGTGAAGGATGTACCTGAGGAGACGCAAAAGGAGGATTATGGACAGCAATGTGAAGCTATGGTTACCACTTATTCTAAAGAATATTATGCATCCTTTTCTTCTGTTAAAAATGATAATGACACTATTTTGCTTTAGTTTCAATATAATTTCTTAACGCTGGGGTATTGAACATTCAATTAACATGAACTACTACACATAGTGTGGATGAGCTGGAGGAAGTGTGTGTGGATAGGGATATAAACATAACTACTAACCTATCTAACACGTTCCTCGTTCTCAGAACAGTTTGGTTCAATCCAATGCTATCAACAAACATGTATTTTTTGTCTTTAGATCAGCTTTTTCAGACATAAAAAGTGAAAAAGAGCACTCAGCACCCAAAGCGTCAAATGGTGACTCACAGGGCCCTTTCTTTACAAGTACTGAATGTAAAGGATTACATGTTTTCTCATAATATGAAGACATGGCACTGTCTTCATCCTTTACTCTTTATTGAGAGAAAAAACTGCAGGAATTATTTATGAAAAAGTTAAAATATCCCCAGCTTTAAGTAGAAGATATATGAATACATTTAATAAATGGTATACGTGTGTAATTCCCCAACATCACAAGCCGCAAACGCAGCCATCGTGTTTAAATAGCTTTGACTCCAAATGCTGTAGAGTTCCCACTGTTTTAGCCACATGGTTCCACCAGGACAGCTGACCTCTTGATCACACGTGCCGCCATCAGACGCTGCTCTGAGTCCAGATACGCCGACGGCTCATCGATCAGATAAACATCAGCAGGTTTCCCCAGACACAGAGTGAGGGCAACGCGCTGCAACTCTCCTCCCGACAAGTTCTGCACCTGGAACCAGGAAGGGATATATTGTGGCTTGAGAGTGACAGAAGTGAACTCTGAAAATGAGAAGGCATCAAATTTAATCTGTTTTGAAATTATAAAGTATGAGAGCATTTACGTCGTAATTTCATGGTGTGAAACCTCTTCAACAGAAAATATAATGAAACAAGTATAAAGTAACTCCCTTTGCTGCAATACTTTTATTATGAAAATGTATAAACTGCTCTGAGTGTGATGTGATAGAGGTACAATGACATCATACTATTACAGGACTGAGGCAGGAGGTTTTAGAGAGAAGTGTTACATGTTTGTGCCAGAAGTTACTGACATTATCGTGGATGGAAAAGAAAAATAGCTTTCTAAAAAGGGACATTTTTTGTAGCATGATTAAATGCCGAGTTGGTTTTCCATAAGTCCTTTGAATCAGCGGGGGAGAATGTTTGTTTCTCACGTCTTGGTCGATGATGCTCTCTATCTGCATGGGCTTCATGACGTCTGTGATGAACTGCGGGTGCGTGTAGGCGTCTCGGATTTTGTCATGGAGCAAAGCCCGAACGCTGCCCTGGAAAGAAAAGAGTGACGAGTCATGAGGAAATGTAACACAATGCCAGAGTAAAGTTATAACTGCACATTGTCCTTAAGTAATCTCCTTATTTTTATCAATGCAAATCGTAATAAAAGAAAATATTACTTTGAATTTGGGGCTGATGGTCTGTGGCTTGTAGCTGACGTTAAGAATAGGGACGTCGCCTTTAAAAAAATGAATGACAATTAAAACAAAGTAAACCACAAAAAGTAAAGTTCGTGAACGTACGCCTCACCTCCTTCGTCTGATTTGAGTCCTCCGGCCAACATCTTGATGAAAGTGGTTTTTCCTGTGCCTAAACAAAGACCAGGACACATGCTTTAACCTGGAGGCTTCGATTACAACTGTTAATGTTGATAATGTATATGCTACTTAAAGAATTATATTATTAAGTGTGGGCTAAATACTAAGTCACATTAAAAAAAAACCACCTGGTGGTGCCTCAAACACAAGATAAAATTGCCAAAACTCATTTATGGGCAATAATTCTGTTTTAAAAAGCAAAAAACTGTGAGAGTGTGATGTCAAGTGTGGTACAATGACATCATACTCTCAATATTACTAGATTTTACTCATTTTTTCACGCAGCAGATTTCCTTTCGCAGTGAAGTTACCGTTTTCTCCCAGCATCACCATGATCTCAGAGTCGGTGAACTCTCCCTCTCGGATCTCCAGAGTGAAATCTCCCAGTGTCTTCTTCATCTCTGGATACTACAGACAAACAAGAGTCCAGCTCAGTCCTGGCTCTGGTCTCGCTCAGCCCTAAACTACAGAGACAGTAGATACAGACCAGGTAGTGCCGCATCCGCTTCACCTCCTCCTCATTTGCCGTTTCTGCCACTTTGAAAACCAGCGACGTTTCCCTGAACCTCAAGTTTTCTGTGGGAACGTAACCGTCCAGGAAAATGTTGATGCCTGCAGGAGACACACGGGTGAAGTCCAGTGACCGCAGCAGGCAAAGGAGTGGAGTTAGTCTGTTATTAGTCTGTAAGTACCTTCCCTGACGCTGAAGGGCATGGTCACCACTCCATACGCACTGGGCACTCCATACAAGCAGCAGATGAAGTCAGATAGATAATCCAACACACTCAGGTCGTGCTCCACCACAATGATGTATCTTAAACGCAATGAAAGCAACACATTAAACACTTTTCATGCAGACGCTTTTCTTTGCACAGAGTTTCTAGTAACCTGTCAGGGGTGATGAGAGAGCGGATGGTGATAGCAGCCTTCAGCCTCTGTTTCACGTCCAAATAACTGGACGGCTCGTCAAACATAAAGCTGGAAGAGACAAAACATATTACTCTGTTAGACACTGTTGAGCACTTGTTTTGTTTTATTTTATTTGCGGGACAAGTTCATAAACTGTTTTTCACACCTAGCAACAACCATTCATCCTGGTTTGACAATAAAACTTTCTCTAAAACTGGACACAGAAAATTATCACTGCAGCGTTTACACCAGGAGTGTCAAACCCGTCCTCAAAGCAGCAGTGCAGCAGCAGCTTTTCATTCCAACCAAGCAGGAGCATACCAGATTCCTCCCATTTCCTCAAGTCTCCAGGTTAAGGCTTAAGTAAGTTTGGTGTGCTCCTGCTTGGTTCGAATTGAAGAACCAGTTTGCTGCTCTAAATCAAAGGACATGGACAGTTGCAGTTCGGCGACGGACTGAAACACAGACTCACATGTCGGCTCTCTGGATGCACACGACAGCGCAGGCGAATCTCTGCAGCTCTCCTCCCGACAGGTCTTCCACATTCCTCTCCCTCAAGTGACTCAGGTCTGAACACAGAACCATCAGAAGTCTTACATCTGGACACATTCTCAAACTACAACTTAGGGCTGGGAATCTTACCGAGAGAAATTCAATGCAAGTATGTGTATATATATATATATATATATATATATATATATATATATATATATAGAGATATATATATATATATAGAGTCTAGATATATATATATATAATATATATAATTATAACCTTTCAACATTTCAGGCTTCAAACATAAAGATATAAAATTTTAATTTTTTGTCATGAATCAACAAGTGGGACACAATCGTGAAATGGAACGAAATTTATTGGATAATTTTAACTTTTTTAACAAATAAAAAACTGAAAAGTGGGGTGTGCAATATTATTCGGCCCCTTTACTTTCAGTGCAGCAAACTCACTCCAGAAGTTCAGTGAGGATCTTTGAATTATCCAATGTTGTCCTAAATGACTGATGATGATAAATAGACTGCTCCTGTGTGTAATCAAGTCTCCGTATAAATGCACCTGCTCTTTGATAGTCTCAGGGTTCTGTTTAAAGCGCAGAGAGAACCATGAAGACAAAGGAACACACCAGGCAGGTCCGAGATACTGTTGTGGAGAAGTTTAAAGCCGGATTTGGATACAAAAAGATTTCCCAAGCTTTAAACATCTCAAGGAGCACTGTGCAAGCAATTATATTGAAATGGAAGGAGTATCAGACCACTGCAAATCTACCAAGACCCGGCCGTCCCTCCAAACTTTACTCTCAAACAAGGAGAAGACTGATCAGAGATGCATCCAAGAGGCCCATGATCACTCTGGATGAACTGCAGATAACTACAGCTGAGGTGGGAGAGTCTGTCCATAGGACAACAATCAGTCGTCCTATGGCCTTTATGGAAGAGTGGCAAGAAGAAAGCCATTTCTCAAAGATATCCATAAAAAGTCTCGTTTAAAGTTTGCCACAAGCCACCTGGGAGACACACCAAACATGTGGAAGAAGGTGCTCTGGTCAGATGAAACCAAAATCGAACTTTTTGGCCACAATGCAAAACGATATGTTTGGCGTAAAAGCAACACAGCTCATCACCCTGAACACACCATCCCCACTGTCAAACATGGTGGTGGCAGCATCATGGTTTGGGCCAGCTTTTCTTCAGCAGGGACAGGGAAGATGGCTAAAATTGATGGGAAGATGCATGGAGCCAAATACAGGACCATTCTGGAAGAAAACCTGTTGGAGTCTGCAAAAGACCTGAGACTGGGACGGAGATTTATCTTCCAACAGGACAATGATCCAAAACATAAAATCTATACATTGCCAATCTACAATGGAATGGTTCACAAATAGACGTATCCAGGTGTTAGAATGGCCAAGTCAAAGTCCAGACCTGAATCCAATCGAGAATCTGTGGAAAGAGCTGAAGACTGCTGTTCACAAACGCTCTCCATCCAACCTCACTGAGCTCGAGCTGTTTTGCAAAGAAGAATGGGCAAGATTTCCAGTCTCTCGATGTGCAAAACTGATAGAGACATACATACCCCAAGTGACTTGCAGCTGTAATTGCAGCAAAAGGTGGCACTACAAAGTATTAGCGCAAGGGGGGCGAATAAAATTGCACGCCCCACTTTTCAGTTTTTTTATTTGTTAAAAAAGTTTAAATTATCCAATAAATTTCGTTCCACTTCACGATTGTGTCCCACTTGTTGATTCTTGACAAAAAATGTAATTTTTATATCTTTATGTTTGAAGCCTGAAATGTGGTGAAATGTTGAAAGGTTCAAGGGGGCCGAATACTTTCGCAAGGTATATATATACCTTGTATACTGTATATATATATATATATATATATATATATATAGAACCGAACTATTAGCAGATGGGGAGATTGGGCTCAGAGGGGAAGCAGAGGGGATTCACATCAGGGTGGATAACGGCATATGGAGGTCAAGACAGAAGGAAGAGCATAGCGAGTCTAGATGGACAGTCCTAACTCCCCTCACTGAAGTCAAACACAAAAGGTACTTTTTGTTCTCTCACCCAGTTGGTCACAAATTATAGTCTGCGTTTCTGTGTCGTCCTTTCTGCTCAGTATGGATCCAACTGACCCCTGCAGGCAGACAGCAGAATTACAGCTTGAGTCATCATAATACAAACATATCATCCTTCTGACCACCAACTTTTAGATTTTTAAGATTTAAAGAAAATCTATTGCATTTGAAGCTCTTAATAAATAAAAAGTTTGGACTATGATGCATTACACAAGTGTTTAAACAGACTGCCCTTCCATTTTCATTTACCCAATCGTCCATTCAGGAAAATAAATACTGCTGCCAAATACCCGCTAACTGCTTGATATGACCATATACTTCCTGTATACTTCCCATTTTTAGATGAGCTTACTTTATATTGTAGAAACATAATGGATAAAAAATAGAGTGTGATATATTTTCACACCTTGACGGTCTTTGGGATCTGGTCCACATATTGCGGCTTCACAATGGCTCTAAGGTCGTCCTCCAGGATTTTAGTGAAATAGTTTTGCAGCTCCGACCCTCGGAAATAAGTCAGGATCTCTTGCCAATCTGGTGGGTTCTGGAGAGAAGAGACATGAAAGAACAAAAATATAAAAATAGCTTACTACTTGTAATTACACCAGTCTATAAATATTTACAGTGTAAATACAAATGCAGGAAAGAAGAAAAAGACATGCCCTTAGCATTAAAATAACAGGTACAGGTTTTATCCTGGTTAATTCATCTAAATATTCAAACACAGCTCACATCAAAGCGGCCCAGGTTGGGTTTCTGTTTTCCCGCCAGGATCTTCAAAGCTGTGGATTTTCCGATTCCATTGGTCCCGACAAGTCCCAGTACTTCGCCCGGCCGTGGAATGGGCAGCCTGAACAAAAGGAGGCGCTGTGCATCAGTGACTGGGTTAAAACAGCAGAGAAACGACTGAAGGCAGAGACTGGTACCGGTGCAGTTTGAACGAGTTTGCGCAGTATCTGTGAGTGGTTTCCTTCTCCAGGTTACTCGGCAAATTCACAATGGACAACGCCCCAAACGGACATTTCTGAAAAAAATGATGAATAAAAATTAAGTTTGTCCTTTTAGAAAATAAGACATTTCAGTACAATATTACAAACAGACTTATATTTTAGAACGACAGGCCAATTAATCTTAAGACAATACAAGCACATAAACATTTGTGTGAAAAACATCCTTTTATTTATTTATTTAACCTTTATTTAACCAGGAAAAATCCCATTGAGATTAAGAATCTCTTTTTCAAGGGAGTCCTGGCCAAGAGGCAGCAAAGTTACACATAAACACAACAGACATACAATTACATAAAAAAATGACAGGTATACAGACTAAACACATCAAGTAAAACATTTACAGGTGATTGAGGCAGTCTCGAAAACTCTAAGTTTTGATTTAAAAGCATTCAAAGACAAAAGCTCGGTCAGCTTCCAGTCTCGCTGGAGCATGTTCCAAGCAGAAGGGGCTGCATGGACAAAAGCTCTTTTTCCAAACTCTGTGCGGACAAAAGGCACAGTAAGTAACAGCTGCTCATTGGACCTCAGAGCATAAGACTCTGTGCTCCTCTGTGGGAGTAATGTACAGAGGTAAGAGGGCAGGAGCCCCAGAAGAGCCTTGTAAATAAAGGTGTACCAATGACACTGCCTCCTAGTGGACAGGGAGGACCATCCCATCCGACCGTACAGCTCACAGTGATGTGTCAGAGCCATAGACTGTATATATTAACGGACAGAGTCGCGCCTATCTCCGCCATTCTAACTAATGGGCCAAAAAATGTGCTCTACTGGAGCAATCCAAAATGGCCGCGAGTGGTCCCGCCCACAAGAACATTGTGAAAAAACGCATCTGCGCATGCGTCAGTCGGCGCAACTCCATTCATTTGAACGAGAGACTGCAAAAATTCACAGCAAGTAAACTAGAGTGGACCAAAAAAATCCACCCCCCTCAGCATTGACACACATGTGGAACGGAGCTTTGGGCCAAGAGCCAACTTTTGGTCCATCCTGTAAAGACGTTTTTGAGAGGTCTTGCTATATGTTAGCATTGGCTAATTCTACTTCTGGGTCCACCCCCATCGGCCCGGGGTGGTATTGCAAGCATGTCAGCGCACGACATTTTGGCCACTTTTGAGCTGGGACCCTCCCCCACTGGTCAGAGCTCTACAGTTTGTGATGAACCTCAGGGAGGCATGATATATTGAGTCCAGCTTTTCAAGACACGAAGAGGTAGCATTCATATAAAAAAAAGGTCACCATAATCTAAGACGGATAAAAAAGTGGCAGAGACAAGGCGCCTTTTAACCCCAAAAGAAAAACATGTCTTATTTCGAAAGAAAAAACCCAGCTTAATTTTTAATTTCCTCACAAGTGCATGGATAAAAGGTTTAAAAGTGAGGGCGTCATGGATGATAAGTCCTAGGTATTTGTATTCATGCAGCACTTCAATGACATTCCCCTCAAGAGTGGACACCACTGGGGGAGCTGGAGGTAGCTTCTTATGTTTTGAAAAAAGCATTAGCTTTGTCTTGTCAGCATTGAGACGTAGTTTTAGATTAAAAAAAGAATTCTGAACAGAAACAAAGGCTTTCTGCAGAGAATTAACAGCCTGCTCAAGTGATGATCCAACGCAATAAATAATAAAATCATCAGCATAAAAATGTATGTTTGCATCAAGAACATCTTGTTCAACATTGTTGATGTACAAGATGAATAAAAGGGGCCCCAAAACAGATCCCTGTGGCACCCCCTTGTGGACAGTAACAAATTCAGAGCAAAGGTCCTCATGTTTTATACACTGGGTCCTTTTTTGTAAATAATTTGCAAACCAAGCAACTGCATTCTCCGACAATCCAATAAGAAGTAGCCTGCGTATTAAAATAGCATGGTCTAAAGTGTCAAAAGCTTTTGAGAGATCAATAAAAAGAAGCACAGAACTGCTTTTGTCAAGTGCTACAATGATGTCATTTACCACCTTCATTGCTGCTGTGATAGTGCTGTGCCTTTTTCTGAAACCTGATTGGTATTGAGAAATGATTTCATTTGAGTAGAGAAACTTTTTCATCTGGTCACAAATAAGAGTCTCTAGAATCTTGGATAAAACACATACATTTGAAATTGGCCTATAATTGGTAAGAACTGCTGGATCGCCACCCTTGAATAAAGGAAGGACAAAAGCAGATTTCCAGACAGATGGAATTATGTTATTTGTAATCGAAAGATTAAAAAGAGTTAATAGTGGCTCTGCTATAAAATCAGCTGCTAGCTTTAAGAAGTAAGGCTCAATCAAATCAGGTCCAGGGGGCTTTCTGTGGTCTAAGGTTTTTAGAGCTTTGTGCACTTCGTGACAAGTGAAAGGATCAAAGTTAAAACAATCTCCAGAAAACATGGGACAATCTGCAAAAGGATCCCCTATTTTTTTTTGTTAACGTCAGGTAGAGAACCAGATGACAAAAAATGCTGGTTAAAGCTATTTAAGATTTCAGTTCTGTCATGAACTGGGCCAGAGTCTTTAAATACAAATGTCGGAAGAGTCTCTTTTATATCCACAGACAGAGACTTGATCACTTTCCAGAATTTCTGAGGATTATTGAGGTTCTCAGTGGTAACGGACAAGTAATATTCTGCTTTGGCCTTTTTTACAAGCAAGGTGCATTTATTTCGAAGCTGTCTAAAAAAGGTCCAATCAGTGGCCAGGTTATTCTGTCTTGCCTTGTCCCACGCCTTATTACGCTCATGAATGCTGTCTGCCAGGTCTGGAGAGAACCATGGGTTTTTTCGCCCCTTTACCCTGTATTTCTTCAAAAGGAGCATGTTTATTTACTACTTGCATGAAGATGTCTTTAAAATATATATATATATATTAAAGTTTACATAGTGAATAACCATTAAATAGAAAATATGACTCCTAAAAATGAGGATCAAACCCACAAGTATGACCCATAAATTAAAATCTGGGCATAGATAAATGTTTATTTTCCAAAGCATATTCTCAACGGAGAGCAGTGCTTACTTTGATGCAGATTCCACAGCCTATGCAAAGACCCTCAGAGATCAAAACTATTTTACTTTGTGGGGTGACTTCAATGCAGAGTTTACCTGCAGAAAAAAAGCACATTAAAATGTTGCATTTCTTCTTTTAGACACAAATGTAATCCCAACATTATTTTTCATGACATTTCAATAAACCATGAGCTTACCCATGCGGACAACAGGACAACTCTTCTTACACTCCTGACGACATTTCTTGGGTTTGCACTTGTCATGGTTGACGATTGCAATTCTGGTATTTTTGTCTGCCATGTTTAAAGGTGACGGGCGCGAGGACTGTAGCGCTAAAGGACAAGAACAACTGTTAATGATGGATTGAAATAAAACAGCAGGCAGAACTCTATTCAAAGAAACAGCAGATCAATCTATGGACAATAGTACTCGATAATGGTGGTAATGAATAAATGAGAAAGGGGAAAAGAAAGAGATTACACACTTTAGTTTGCTTTTCAGGCTGATCAAATTTTGGACCAGGTTTAAACACATACGGAGGCAGTTATAAGAACACTTTCAACAGACTGGGTAAATGCCGCTCGGATTCAGGGGTCACTCTGCTGAGGCCTCACTTTCAATTCACTTCAAAACATGAAACAACAAAAGGCCTCACTATCATCTCTGCCTCCGACCGAGCCACACTGACCACAAAAAGAGTTCATTAGAGATTTTGAAGACATTACACATGTTTGATCGTTTGAGCACAGACCATCGTTATTGGAATACTGACTTTGATATTTCTTTCTAACCAAAAAGGATTATTATTATTACCATCAATATGAACTAAATCCCTGCATAACTGCAGAGCCATTACACAAGCAGAATCTTATTGTTTTACTTTTGAGAGTTAATGATAGTACATGTTGGAAATGTGTTATGCTATCCATGTGTTTTTCATTTAGATTGTGGGGGAAACAATTGGCTAGTTTTGGGAGTTTTTTGTCTCACAAACACCAGTAAAGTAGATTTTTTGCGGTGAAGTAGGGACAAAAAAAAGTGTAACTCCATGTAGGCATATTTGATACATGAAGCAACAACTATATAAGTTCACAACAATGGTTTAACATTTGGTAACAATAGCTATTTGGCTACCCGCTGTAATACTGTTGGTATTACAGATAACAGTGTGCATCAATAGTCTATCTTATCTTATCTTAACAAACATGTGTAAGAACTAGACTCCCAGAAATGACCATTGATAATAAAGTTAGCCTTTGAGAAAAGCTATCAATCAATACCATTTGTTGTATGTTCATACATTCATTCTGAAATTCGTCTGTACGTTTTTATAGATTTAATATTGATGAGTCACCGCAATGTATTTATGGCCTTTACTTCACACTGAGCCATCACAACACAACAGGCACCGCAGCTATAACGACAATGTTATCCTGCACAGTAGATATATCCTGCACAGTAGATATATTTTAGAAGAAAGGGTGGCGTTTGTGCTGGTTTTGGACGGGTTATCGCTTGATCCACACTGGTGCATTGAGGCGGGCGGAGACCAGCAGCATCACAGGAAGAGTGGAGTTTGTCCTCGTATAACCTTCTTTATGTCCACGTTTCTGTTGTCCTTAAACGATCAGCGCAGATTATCTCGGACTGTCTGAGCAGAGCCAACACCGTGAAGTCCAAATCATGCCAACACAACAACTATGGGCGATGCAACTTTCTATGCGAAATACCTCGGCCACATTTCTCCGAGAGTATTAGCTAAGTGTAGATCAACAGAACTAATACCATTTGGGGGTAATTATTGAGTAATTAATTATGGCTACGTGAGCAATGCTAAGGCGGGGTTTAATCACCACCCCAATCGCGATATATCAATCATAAAATGCCTCGATGCGTGCATTCATATGGTTGCTAACGGTTAGCAATGGCGCTAGCCCAGGCCCTAAACTGACAGCTGCTACATTTAGCATGACCACGTTTCAATAACAATAACGACTGTTTCATTCATAAATATGTGTCAGTATATTGTAAACTCACCCCTCACCGATCCCCGTCAATCGACTGCAAAAAACCTGCTTGTTGGACTTAGTTTGAAACGAATATTTTGAGTCAAAGTTATTTTTTTTCCGCAACGTGTTCCTCTCCTGGAGCCGGTTGGAAAGATGGCGGGAGATTAGTCATCAAAGTGCGACGAAGAGAGGCGTGACGTCACTGCAAAGCGACGTGGAGCAAAGTGGAAGATTTGTGAGAAGGAAAAACATCTTTCAACCGCGTTTTATGATTATATTTGAACATTACGAAACCGCGAAGGAACTGGATGGACATTAATGAATATATCTGGTAGGGCTCTTTAAAACACAGGTTACATTGTGCTTACAACGCAATAAAATAGTAGCTTGTTGGCTAAGTTACATGCTACTTCAGAACATCCACTGAGACTTCAGAAATCTAAAAGAAAGAAACGTGTAGCTTTACATTTGTAATTATGTAATCGTTTGAGTATAGACAAATAATGAAATGCATGTAATCTTGATACTGGTGATTTAGTCTTGCATTTTTCACGGGGATTTGTATTTTATTTTTTATCTCAATGTCAAATGTTTGCATCTAAAATAAATATAAGGCCTCACCTTGGACTTAAAACCAATCTATGCTCTTATATACCCCTGCTATTTAGCTGTACCCTTTGTGCATGGTAAGTGTCTATTTCCATCTACTGCATGTTATTTGTTGTTCTCAAAAGATGGCCACTCCCAGCAAGACTCCCCCTGGCGCAGACCCTAAACAACTAGAACGAACCGGGACCGTGCGAGAGATCGGGTCTCAAGCCGTGTGGAGTCTGTCCTCATGTAAACCAGGTCTGATTCTGTACCAAGACTTTTTATAAAGCTCCTGTTGCTGACGTCAATGTCTTAGAATTGTGAAATATTAATGCAGAGCTTAAATGTAATCAAATTCAGCAAATTGCAAAGACAGCTGTTTTAAAATCTTTTGGTAGTAGGGTGGCTGAGTCTGCAGCTTGGAGATTCCCTGTTCCTCTCTGTGTGTTTCCCTCTGGGCAGTCTGGTTTCCCCCATCACCAAAACATGCACAATGACATTCACCCTAGATGAAAATTGTCAATGGTTTGTTAGTCCTGACCTAGCCTGGCCTTAGCCATCCGTAAACTCTTGTCAATCATTATTTGAAATGAAATTTGTACGATGGTGTAGTAAGACCAGGCAAGTCCTGACCAGGAGACGCAACATCTGGAGATCTGGACATGATCATTTATTAATATTGTATTGTTTTTATAAAATATGTATAAAGATTATTTTACACATGGGGTATTAAATGGTGGGGGAAATATATGCTTATCACGTGCTTTATTCTTTAAAAAAAAAAAATCCTGTAAAGATTTCTGTTTGTGGTTCTTGTTCAGTCTTCTGTCAAATGTTATTGCGCCAAATCATGTTGTTAACACTGTAAGAGTGATTTAATGTAGCAAAAAAATGTAATTCAAATGAACTTTGTTTTTTGCTGAGTAAACTGCATGTAGACAGAACAAAACTGTCAATATGCCTCCCTGTAGGGTTTGGAGTGGATCAGCTCAGGGACGATAACCTCGAGACATACTGGCAGTCTGATGGATCCCAGCCACATCTTGTCAACATACAGTTCAGGTAAAACTTGAAACTATTCAGGGTAGCCCCAGGGTCATTAAATGTATGTATATAATTGCGTAATGTATAATGCTTAAAGCAATATATAATTAGATTAAGCCAAATTCAAGGACTTGATAGCTTTAAATATGACAAAAAGGCAGCATTGTACCAGTTCACAGCTTTTCTGAACAAGTTCAAGTTCAGCTCATACATGCTCAAAGTGAACAGTTATCCTGTACACCGCAAAGGATGAGAATTTTTGGCGGAAAAACTGTGAAGAATACAGGAGGGAGGAAAGTTCTCTCGTTGCGTTTCAAAAAAGAAAACAGATGTCACTCAGTTTTCAATGGAACAAAAATTAGAACGTTCATTTACAGTAGTGCTGCAGTTCATGACACATAATGTGAACTAATTCATGTTCAAGTTCTTTATTATAAAATGTGTCGCGGTCAGTTCAACGTTCATGAAAAAATGAGCATGTTCAATGAACACGTTCTTTTGAACTCACGCACAACACTGCAAAAAAAGCTTTCAATTTGTGCAGTGCAGTTTGATGCAGTAGTATTCTTTTCTCACTCCTTCTCCATCCATCCATTTTCTACCCTTTAATCCATTTCTGGGTCAGGGGGGTGGCAGTCAGAGATGCCACCCAAGTCTCATAGCACCAGCCCCTCACTGACCCTCTGCAGGTGGTGAGTCCACAGGAGGACGGCTGCTCTCTGAGTGTGAGCATAGCCTTGATCTTTCAGTGGGGGCTTTTGGGCAAAGTGGGGTTAAGTGTCTTGCCCAAGGACACAACGACAGCAGTCATCAGTGGGAGTCGGTGTAGAGGTGGGAATTGAACCCATGACCTTCTGGCCTAAAGGCCAATGCTCTACCAACTGAGCTACTGTCGCCCCCCTTCTCATTTTTAAAAATATAATGATAGTTTTAGGACAACTATAGAAAAAGGTTGAAGTGACAATAATGTAAGGGCTATGTAGTTCAAATAATTTGACATTTAAGTCCACTTTCCAAACCCTTTTCAGGAAGGCACTGAAAATGTTTTGGAATTTGATTGATGGTATTAAAGTGTCACTGCAGGATGGAAGTCTTAAAGTCTGAGATGTGACAACCAAACCCTGCTCTTGATGATGCAGAAGCTTTTAGTGTTTTAGTTGAAAGTTATTTCTGTCTCCAAATGTGCAAATCTGCTTTGTATTTCAGGAGGAGAACCACAGTCAAGATGCTGTGTATTTACGCTGATTATAAGTCTGACGAGAGCTACACTCCCAGTAAAATCTCTGTGAGAGTCGGAAACAACTTCCACAACCTCCAGGAAATCCGGGTAAATCATAAGTTCCATTGCATTAATCCATAGCCCTTTAAATGCTACAGGTTCACAATTAGAATGGAGTTACATGGGAAACTGAAACTTTGCATGTGTAAGCCAAATCCTATCAGACCTCTGAAGCGAAGTATGGCAGGGCTTGGTCAGTACTGTGACGGGAGACCTCGGGGAACTCCAGGTGCCACAGTGCGGCGCCTGTAAAGTGCCAAACTGTTGGTGTGTTCTTAGGCAAGACACTTCACTCACATTACCTAGAATGAGTCTAGTGCGTGTGTGAATTAGCTTTGCTCTCGCTAGACCCTTGTAGTTCCGCCATACTCCACCAGAGGCGTTTCGCTTCACGCACAAGGGTCTGGAATTGAGCTCATAACCAAACTCCTTCAGCAGATCAGAAAATAATCGACCAATCAGGATTGTCGGTGTTACGTTGGGTTTGCACAGTCTTCTCAAGTGTGTGTCACGCGGCAGCAAAAGAAATCCAAGGGGGCGGACATAAAGTCTGTGAATTTTTTTACAAAGTTTAGATACGAACGAATTAATACACGGATGTCACTTTTAATGCAAAATGAGACAAGATGTTGATGGTTCTATGTTGTTATATTTGTGTTTTAAGAGTCAAATGTTCATGTAAAGTTTGGTTTAAGTACTGGTTTAAGTGTTCCTGTTTACAACACTACGCAGCAGGGTTGCCAGGTAGGGTGGTTCCCCGCAGACTTGTAGGTAATATATAAACAGAAAGACAATAATCCGAATCATGATAGCCCAAGTTGATTACATTACGTTTTTAGCCAAAAAAATCTTTCTGGGAGGGTTTTTTTTGGGCATTCTCGCGGGTTTTGGGCTGGAAAATCTTGCATTTGACAACCCATGGGAGTCGTGTGCTTCAATGTGAGTGGTTGAAGGAAGACGTCTTTGAGTTTCCAAAAAAGTGCAATATCAAATGAAGGTTACGAATGTAGTTACAGTTCTATGACCGTCAGAGGCGCTCTGTCACTCAGGATCCTTGCGTTTCAGCAGAAGATTCTGCAGGAACAGAGGGATGGATGACGCTGGACATTTTTACTATCAATATCTGTGTACCTTTCAATTAAAGACTAAACTGAATTATTACAATGCATGCTTGAATAATTTCTGATTGCTGATTTGATCACATATTTTCCTGTGTCTGAGCAGCAGCTGGAGATGGTGGAGCCCAGTGGTTGGATTCACATTTCTCTTTTAAATCAGGTAAAAAAAACAGAAAAGTTAAATTGTTTGAACAATCTGATTTATGTCTAACAACATTAAGATGAACAGAATTGTGATTGAAAGTATTTGAATGAGATGTACTCTGGAAAGCCTTTGTTATTAATCATAATCAAATCAAAATTGCAATTGAGAAAACGCAAAGAATGTCATTGTTTAGGTCCTTTGCCAACAAAAAGGGGCCTAAAGATGGTCATAAAAACACTTTTATTAGGCCCCTGATCAGCTATTACCTTGTAAATTTGGCCCCTGACCAAAATTTGTTTGACACCCCTGTCTTGACTTTTATGTTAAGACTATTTTGATTATAAATGTGCGTCTTTCAGCGACTAAAACTTGATGAAGTCAATATCATAAGTCCAGAAACTCTAAAAACAGCTTCTGTATTTCTCTGCATTTCCTCTTGTTGGCTCTCTCTGCTGTTCACATAAAAGTAAGAGCTGATAGAGCTGTGTCCAAATTCTTTTCTGCGCCCCTTCTGCTTATTTCTATAAACTGGACAAGGTCTTTATTCTAACACCAGTTTCTAACCACAGCGGACAAACGAGCCGATCAGCACCTTCATGATCCAGATTGCGGTTTTGGCCAATCACCAAAACGGCCGGGACACACACATGCGGCAGATCAAAGTCTACACCCCGGTGGAAGAGAGCTCCATTGGAAAGTTCCCACGATGCACCACGGTCGACTTTATGATGTACCGAACCATTAGGTGATCCGTGTGAACTGTGAGGCTGTGATGAGCAATGGACACGTCTGAATCTCCAGACCTCAACACACTCCATCCACAGAGGATTTGTTTATGTTGTTGTGACTTAATTAACTGCCTGGAAATGAAACTGAAGGTCACAGAGGTCAGAAATACTGCAGTGAAATCAGAGGGCGATATTGGCAAAAAACAAATATCTCTACGTAGATATTCAGACCATTTTAAACCTGGGCCACCTAACTTTTATTGTTTAATAAATACACTTTGTTTGTCCCAACAGAAAAGGTCTTGTATTAGTAACATTTTGTGAACAAGTCAAACGACAACATGCTGTCTTTATCTTATGAATATTAATATATTGCCATTTATATACTGAGAAGTATATTTATGCTGAGGGCGGTCGTCTGGAAAGAGGCCAAAAAGATGTTTTTTTTTTGCATAGTTAATTGTTTGTGGTTTGAAAGTTAGGTCCTCCAGCTTTAAGTAATAGATTTAACAGACATTTGCCAACTTACTTTATGAAGACATATTTTATGTCAGGTAAATGTTTAATGTATGTAAAAAAGAAAAAAAAACAATACAAATGTTATTTCTGCTGTTTTGCCACATTTGTTAATGATACAATAAATATGTCATTTGATTTTTTGCATGACTATATTTATATATTTTTTTATCCACCTGGAGCTATTTCCTATTTTTTGCCAATGTCACCCACCTACTATTCTGAACTGATTGATTGCTATTGTATTATTACAGAATGTACTTTTCTTGTCTTTTTTGCAATTGCTATAAGAAACTACATGGTCTGTTTATTGGTTTTGATTTGAGATTTTGAAATAAACTTGAATACTTGTTTTTTACTCACATAATGACAAGGGCAGTAATCGAAGCTAATTGAAAAGATAATTATACCTTCTATATTTTCTCATGTATTTTAAAAACGTTGAGGGGAAAAATATTGTAATTCTTTATTAAAACACTAGGGGGAGCCTCTGATATTGGTAATGCACATGAAACTTATGTATGGTACATAGATTACATTTACGGCGCTAACTGATTATTAAAACATTTACATATTTAGTTTTAGTTTTAAAAGCAGTATTTCACAAGAAATGTATCGGGTCTTTTACCAATGTGGTTGAGGATGGATAAATATGAAAGAAAAAATTGGTTGATACTGGATTTCTTCTATGCTGTTATGGAAACCTGGCACAAATCTGGGCCGTTCACTGCTTTGTAAAGAAGAACTATTTAATATTTGGCTCAATTCACCTTTACTTTGTAACTTCAAATAATGATGTACGTGTTTAAATGAGAAATTGAAACTGTTGCTAGAGGATTTTTTTTTTTAGGATGGAAAAAGTCCTCAAAATGTTTCACACAGGAGGCTGAATCACATAATCTAACTTTGTACAGGATTGTCTTGAGCTGGAAACAAGTATTGAGAATCAAATAATCTGTCAATAATTCCATTGAACTTTGGCTCCACTGAAGTAGCAGTTCAATGTTTCTTTAAAAAGACAGTCCATTCACTTAACATTTAATTCAAAATCACATCCATAACATATTCCTGTTTTGAAGTTTTTCAATACAGCCTTAGATATGTCAATTTACAACCACCAATTCTTGATTGATTGAAGTTATCACTCCAATTTGCCCATACATTTTTGTACGTACATCAATTTTCTGATTTTGTCAAAATGTTATATTTTATAGATCTATAAAATGTAATTTCCCTGCAATTTATTTATGCGCTGTAGGAACATTCAGTAATTAAGAAAACATGCGCAGAGAAGAGTGAACGGGTAAGGCCTTTTGAGAAATAATATGATGGAACAGTGATTTAAAAAGGTACATTTCGTCTTGAGTTAAAATGTGTGCGTTTGTGGGTCTTTTGAAAGCTACTGGTAACGTGTTTTCCTAAAGAACCACAAAAAAGACAAAACAATAGAGAGGGAATAGTATTAGAATAACTGTTTATAAAGACCACTCTGAGGAAATAAGGAAATCAATGACACCTTTCTCCAGGCAAGAAGCTAACACTCCCCATGTCTAATAATTAAAATATAAGAAAACCACATCCCACATTCAGAACAATGAAACAGAAAACACAGCTGCTTTTATATAAAACTCATCTTTATTGAACAATTTGTATCCATTCACTTCATGACATATGTTCTCTTTATAAAACATGATATATACACATACTCTTTCTTTTATCTACAATACTTTACATGATTATAGTTCCACATCAGCATCTCCTTCTCCAATAGCCAGCGCCATTTATTCATAACCTGAAAATGCCAAGGGAAGCATTGACCAGAGACAACCATATATGGGCACTGGCAGCAGCAGCAGGTGTTGCCTAGAAACTGCAGCGACCACAGTTCATATTAATATAACAAATAGAAAGTAGGTTTCAATTATTCATAGTAACAGTCTAAAATGGCAGTACGTATTGTGTTTGAGCTCTATATCAAATGCATGCAAAACACTATACAATATTGTTTGCGGACTCGTCTTTGAAATGTAGAATCCCCTTTAAAACTAAATCTTATGGAATAAAACAGCAGGACTGGGTTATTTGGCACGGTTCCCCATTCACTTACATCTATACACAGAATTGGCACTCAATACACAGTATTTTGTATATTTCATCAATTAAAATACACAAATTTGACATTTTGTATACAGTGTAAACATTGAGAGTGATGGCTCATTTTGTAATAACAATTTGGCACTAAGACGCCTTAAAATCTTGGTATTTCGTCCCACTGCAAGCTAACCCATACCCTAACCATAATAACAGTCCCTTACTTTAACCACATTGTGACTGTTATGTTCAAATTTTAATAAAGAAATATCAATAAAATGTGACTATTTACTTCAGCCCAGGACAGAATACAGAGATTTTAGTTAGTCCCATTGAATAGTGCCATATTTGTTGAGCTTGTAATGCTTCCCTTGGCAACCTCGCAGAGCATCCTTTCTTCGTAACACGGTGCACATTTGTACAAAAGCTTTTTTTAATGACTTTGATTTTCACAGTAATTCAAGATGAAGCAGTTTTTTTTCAAAGCAGCTCAAAAAGGAAAAAAAAGCCCATAAAACCGACATTATCAAAGCCGTAACAGAGCCTCAGATTTCTTAAAACGTTGAAATAAATGGCTTGTTTTCTCGCTCTCTTGATTGAAGTCGTCATTGGTTTAGCAGCTTGTGTTGGTCGATTTACATTCCACGACATTTCGGCTTCACCACGTAATCATCATCTTCAAAAACATGTACATCCACGGCGTGTTTGAACATTCATTTGTCTGTCTGAGAAAGTCTCCAGCAGTTTGCGTCGTCGTAACATTCAGGAATTTCCACGACTTTGGTCAAAAAAAGGTTAAATGAATCTCTGGTTTTAAAGCAGTCTGTTCAGTGCCATATTTGGGCGTCGTCAGTCCGTCTCTTTCCTCCTGTCGTCCAGGTCAAAGTCCAGCACCAGCAGTTTGGTTTCCTCTGTGCCGTTTCGACTGCCGGCCGCACAGACCAGGCGTGTGTCGGATGCCCTGATTCGCCAAACCACACCACCTGACCAGAAACACAGCAAACATGCACATTAGAATTGGCTTCTAGATAAACACAAACATGAAGGAGTAATGTTTTATTATGTGCAAATTGTGTCAGAGATTGAGGATTAGAGAATCTGCAGCATCAGGATTGGGGTTTGGTTCAAACTGTGATTAAAGGGTTACTGTTGAATGGTAGTGTACCCTCTTGTAAGTATTAAAAGGAAGCCTGAAAATTATTGTTTGTGGATGAGCAGTCATGCCTCCCAGACGGAAGGACCTGGGTTTGATCCAGTCCCGACTATAGTCTGTATATAGATGGACAGTGCTAACCTGTTAGCTTGATGAAGAATGAAAAGGGAACTCCTCTGATTCCGCCAACTTGCATTGAAAAGTAAAGTCTCTTGGCTAGGCAACTGTTCATGTCACACTCACCACACTTCAGGTATTTTTAATTTTGTATCCAGATATCCAGATATGAGCCATAAGAATTTACCAATCAGATCCCTTCATTCGCAGGGGCAACTCAACTGACGGATCTGCACTTTTTTAATATACTGTGATTATTTATGGTTTTAATGCCTTGTATGATTTTTTTCTGTCTCCTTTCCCTTTTTTTTTTTTTTTAAGTTGTCTCGAGTAAGTCCTGTGCTATACAAATAAACTTGCCTTCCCTAAATGTCTCCTGCTGAGGCAAATAAGACATTTGCTGCAAATTTGCCAATATTGAAATTTAATTGGCTACTAGAGGAAGTGATCGGCCGCAGCCTTCCATCGCTGCAGGACCTGTACGTCGCCCAAGCTCGAGGCCGGGCTGGTCGTATCACAGCCGACCCCTCTCACCCTGCACATGGACTATTCCAACCACTCCCCTCAGGCAGGAGGCTGCGGCCCATCAGGACTAGAACCTCCCGCCACAAGAACAGTTTCTTCTTCGTCACTTTACTTCACTGTACTGCTGTCACCTTACATTGTGTGCACCATGTGCACTTGTATATTATAAATAGTAACAAACTCTATTTTAAATTTAAATTTATTCCTTAGAAGTGTTTTTTATTCTTTATTTTTTATTATCTTTTTCTGACTGTTGCACTGAGCCAAAGCAATTTCCAAGTCTGTGACTTCCTGTTACTTACGTGGCAATAAAAATGATTCTGATACTTTTGTATTGGGTAAACACTATGGGTGACTATTTATGTGTAGCCCTAAATCACAACTGATAATTCCTTCAAGATATCTACTAAGTTCTCGATTCGCCAACACAGATCAGAGAATCAACAGACAGTTAGTCTAGTGGAAGTTTGTTTCCTGTCCGCTTCTGAGATCTGAGGGATCACTCTTTCACACGCAGGTATGGCCTCAATTATAAGGTCCACACCGTATTGGCAGTTCTAATTTCCTATACAACGCACAAGACGTTTAAACACTTTCGTTCGTGTTTGTACCTGAACCACGACTCTGCAGCGCCACCACGTCTCTGACCCAGGCCCCGGTGTTCAGGTCCCACAGTTTGACCGTCCCGTCGTCAGAGCTGGACAGAACGAGGCCACGACAGAACTGCAGACAGGTGACCGCCGACTGGTGCTTGTTTGGGCCTGAGGAGCAGAGCCACACGTGAGGCAAAGCAGTCTTAATCACAAAACAAGGCAAAAATGTAAATCGAGCCCGACGAGCCGTTATCTAATCATACAATAAGTAAGAATAATTACTTGACCCACTTATTGTTTAATGACTGATGGAATTTTCATTGATAGAATGTTGCCAATTGTTTTAGCTGTAGAGAGACTAAATATTACATAATTGAACTGATAACGTAGTGCATGCTTTTTCATTCAAGTCAGAAAATGTGTTTATACCGAGACTATGGGCTTTATTGTACTCAGTGGCATAAAGTAGTTTCAATATTATTTTCTATTGTAATAATTTACAAAAGCAAATGTTATAGTCTGTCAAAATTAGGAGTTAGATAACCCCAGGTATGTGAATACCTGGGGTTGAAGTGAATCTAGTGATAAACAAAAAAGAAAATAACACATTGGCTTGTAAGCTGTAAGTAGAATGTCCGTTTATAGGTAAGAGTACTTTCTAGAGATGCTCAGAAACATAGCATTTACAATTCATTAATGGTCAATGTGTTTCTGAGTGTGCGTTTGGACCTTGTAGCGTGTGCAGACACTGTCCCGTCCTGATGTCCCAAACCCGCACAGTGGAGTCTGCGTTTCCGGAGACGAGCATGTTGTCGCGGAGCTCCATCCCCGAGGTCAGGGACTGGTGTCCGGTCAGAGTGTGGACGCAGTTACCTGAAGAAAACACGGAACAAAAGCAGTCGTGAAATCAGAGCTCGTTTTAAAGTCTTACAGTTAGAAGAGAAGTGACGTGTACCTGTGTCGGCCTCCCACACGCGAATGGAAGTGTCCAAAGACCCACTGACCACAAACGCACCGTCGAACTGGAGAGGAGAGGATGAGAAATGTCAATTTACACTTTGGAAAAAGGTCACAACAATCTACTGCTCGTGTCTCCCATGAAGTTACAATGTAATTGGAATGTTTTGGTGCTGAAAAGTCATGACCACAATACAAGCATTAATAAACTAATGTATAGGGATCTCATTCAAGAAAATTAACAATTTTGACAAAGATTTTAAAAGGCTACAACTTCAAAGTGCTTTGAGATAAAGGCAAAACTGTAAATGAGAAATATCTTTAGTATGAATCAAAATTTGGGATGGAGATTGATTCGTCATCTAGTTTGCAAATCGCGACATCATCAAGGGGGCAGCCATATTGTAAAATGAACAGAGTAGTTTTACCTGTAGTGAGTAGACGCGGTTTGTGTGTCCCTGCAGCGTGTGGAGGCAGACCTCAGACTCCGGGTCCCAGACTTTCACCATGTAGTCGTAGCCTCCGGACACCACTCTGCGCCCGTCGTACTGCACGCAGCGCACCGCGGCCACGTGTCCCGTCAGAACGTGCTCACAGCGGCCGCTCTCCACATCCCACACGCGAAGAGTAGTGTCCCGCGAGCCAGAGACCACCCTGACGACACACACACACAGTCAGCTTTGACATGGAGGAATCATTGTGTGGTTAAATCCCTATTCACCTCACAAAACAAAAATATTTTTGTTTTATGGTTTTCCCAGATTGAAAACCTTAAAACCAGTCAAATCTAATAAAATCTGAAAAACACACCTTTAAATGAAAAAACAAAAACAAAACAGAACCACACAACTTGCGCAGTATTAAAAGCCAGAGAATAAAGGTGGGTAGGGCTGGGACAACGCGTCGACGTAATCGGTGACGTTGACGCAAAAAATACACCGACGTATAATATGCGCGTCGGTGCGTCACACACAAAACAAAGATGGCGGCGAGCGGTAGCAATGCAAGTGCCGTGTTAGAGAAGTGCAAGCCGGTGTAACGCTGAGATACACTGCCTTGAAGAGATGCACTGCCTCAGCTGTTTATCATGTGCAAATGCAAACCTGCGCATGCGCGTCTCACGGCAGCCGAAGCAAACCAAGATGGCGGACCGTGAATTTCTTTAAAAGTTGAAATACGAACGAATTCAGACACGAATGTCACTTTTAATGCAATTTGAGGCGAGATGTTGATGGTTCCGTTTTGTCACATGTGGGTTTTAAGAGTCAAAGTTTCGTGCAAAGTTTAGTTTAAGCAGTCAACTGCGCCTGTGAAACCACAAAGCTAATGTTTTCATAGCAGTCCGCGGCTGCTGACGTAGGCTGATGACGCGTCCTGTGGCAACTAGGGATGTAAATCGGCGACCGGTTAACCGGTGGTTGACCGTCACAGCGTTAACCGGTCAAAGCTGTCGGTTAAAAAAGAGAAAAAGGGGAGAGGGGAGGTCTCTTAATAACGCTATTTTAAGCCCTATTTGCACGGTGTGACGAGCGGGTCTGTATCTAGCTGTGTGCGCCCATGTATTATAAACTCCCGGACAACTCTCACGCCGCACAAGCCACATATGCACACACGCACGCGTACGCACGCGTGCACACACACACACACACTTTCCCCCTCTCCATACGTAACATCCACATGCATCATCTCTCCCCTCTGTTACCGTCAAAGTTGCACACTGGCGCGGGTCAGAACTACATTGGAGCTTACATTTACACACACACACATATACATACACACACACATACACACACATACACACACATACACACACATATACATACACACACACACACACATATACATACACACACACACACACACACATATACATACACACACACACATACATACACACACACACATATACATACACACATACATATACATACACACATACATACACACACATATACATACACACACACATACATACACACACACATACATACACACACACACACATACATACACACACACACATACACACACACACACATACACACACACATACCGGTCTGTTGCGCTCCTCTGTGTCACGGAGCCCAAAGGATTCGCGCAAATACACGGCTCCAGTCAAACCACATGGACCATGTTTGTGTTTATGGTCCTCGGGATCAGCCCCACACACATCACTTGTATTTAAACTTTTGTGAAGACCTGTGAGACGCGGCTCGTCACTCGCTGCTCTGACCATGTGAACGAGCCGTCGTTTGCTGCTAGAAAGTTTTGGTATTAACCCGCAGCACAGCAGAATGGGAAGATTAAAAAAGCAGTTCTTTGTGCGCAAAGGTGCCGGAGCTGTTGTGGGTTTTGGCGCCGCTGTCTCGGCTCTGATCCAGTAGAACGCAGAGCTGCACTTATGAAAAGTACGCGGCTCAAAATGGCTGTTATTTCAAAGAACGTGGACTATTTTAAACTACGCGGTTAACCGGTTTCAACCGGTTAATGAGGCTCGGTGGTCGGTCATGAAAATTCATAGTTTTTTACATCCCTAGTGGCAACTCTACACTCTTACACTGGTCTGTCTTTCTTTGTATCAAACGGAATATTAGCGCCCGTAATAGCCCCTACATGTATTATTCACTGTCATGCCCGCCGTATATGGACATTTTTCAACATGTGTTCAATATCCTTAATGTGTTTAACTGTTGATTGATTCTCTGATCTGTGTTGGTGACTTCAATGTTGTTTTAAGTCCTCTGAGATGACTTCTACTGTATTCTTTCAGTAACTCTAAAAGAAAGGATGACTGGTTGACCTTTTTATTGGCTACACAATGCATTGTTTTTCTCTTGTACACTCTTACTTGAGTTTTATTTTTGAATTTTGAGTTTAAGAAAAAGGTGTGTGGCAGAGTTTTGACTGTTATTTTTATATGAATGAAGAATTTAAGAGATGCACTTTAATTAATGGACTTCAGTAATATAGGCCTATGTGTCTTCAACTTAAATGTTAAACTCTGTTGGTTCAGGAAGGACGCCATGACAGGCTGATGGCTCCCACTGTTTTTGCTGGAAAAGCACTCTTTGTTTAGCTTAAAGCCTTCAAGTTTACATTGGTTACTGTTTTCTTTTAGTTGCTCTACACAAGTATTTGGCTGAACATTTTCATATTTTTATTGAATGCTAAGCATCAAATGTTTGTTTCAAGAATGATAAGATGCACTTTTTTCAGTAAACTGTGTTTTCAAGGCTTTAAGGTTTTATGCTACCTCTAAGAATGTCTTATTTTTGAATTTTAAGAGCAAGCAATAAATATTTTTTAGGAAGGAATTTATGTTTTTTTTCATTAAAATATTTAAATCAACATGTACACATCAATATTAGTCAATTAATGGGGAGATAATCGAGAATCGAAATCGAATCGAAGCAAAAAAAATAATCGTTAGATTAATCGATGCATCGAAAAAATAATCGCTAGATTAATCGTTTAAAAAATAATCGTTTATCCCAGCCCTAAAGGTGGGTCTTAAGAATTACAACTTAAAAACACTTCAAAAGACTCATTCACCATGTTTTCACAACCTTTATGTGAAACTGATTTTAGAACTTAATAAGGTCGTCTTTCATCATTGATAATGATGAGTGAAAATATCACTCAGTTTGGTTTGAAATATGTACATTTCTCAAAGCAATAACACATCTCTCACAAGAAGCACTTCACAAAAAGCCACCAGGAATGAGGAATGTGACTTTAATCCAACCTCTTCTCAAACTATTAGTTTTTGTGGTATCTTTTTTTTCTGAACATACACAAACGTTTTCGGCATAAATAGATTCAGTTTTCAATAAAGTTTAATAAACTCTAAAAAACTACAGTGCATTAACCAAAAAGAGCAATTATAAATCATCAATGTGGTATCAAAATTTTATATTGTTTCAAGTATCGGAAAAGACTTCGAGAGTTTGAAATTTAGTATTGTGACAACTAGAGCTGTGATAAGCAATTATTTCCCAATGTTCTCCTAAGTGATGTCCCTGGAGAATATCCTCATAGAGATGGCTTGCTAAACATTGGGTTTGGTAAAAAAAAATGTATGATAAAATATCTTTGCAGCAAGTCTATGTAAAAAAACCCAACAAAAGTAAATAATCGATTAATCTAGTGTCACCTGTTGCCGTGGAGATGCATGCAGCGAACTGTGGACGTGTGGCCGTACAGGATGTGCTCACACTCGCCCTTCTCCGCGTCCCAAACTCTAAGCGTCCGATCGGTGGAGCCGCTGATTACTATGGCCTCCGACATCTGACTGCACCAGACCCCCCCAGTGTGGCCCGTCAGAGTCCGCAAGCACTGGAAGGAGAGGAAGAGAGGAAGAGAGGGAGAGATGTCATTGCAATTGGTCATCTGCCCCAAATTCTATGGTTTTGTGATGTCCTCCGCAATAACTTGTGATTTTAGGCTATACAGAAATAAATTTATCTGAATTTTTAACCTGCAGTACACTAGTTTGTTGGGTTAATTTGAACTGGATCAATTCTTTTGTGGGTGTAAAACCATCAAGCATGTCTCCACTAGTCACTTAAAGCTGAAGTGCTCAACTTTCAAACCGCAACAGAAATTGAACTGTGTAATCGAATCCATGTAGTACTTGCTGGACTAGCTGGACAAGCACCTGGACAAGAACCAACTTAACTTGAAAAGAAAGTTAATTTTGTCCACACATAGGCCGCACTTTAATAAGGGTTTCATTACAACATGGAAACCTTTGGCTTATTTTAAACAGCTGATGGAGAAAGGTAAAACCAATAGATGATTGGTTTAATGAGTTGTTTTAACGCACTGTTGACTGGTAAAATCTATTTACACAATAAGCATGCATCCCATCCCTACTAAAATAATGGGTCCATAAATCCTGTTCTGCTGTTTACATAAACACAAGGAAGCAGTGTGCTTTGACATCATGTCTGAAGATCAACAGCTGATTGAGGAGGGAATTTGGATACACCTCTAACAAAAAAAAAACTTAAATCGGCAGAATCGTTCTGTGGGTAGCAGGGTTCAAATAACTTAAAAAAACTAAAAAGTACAGGCTTATAGTGCAGCAAGTACTGTAACTAGGCCATCACTCAAATATCTCCATCACTAGTTTTGACATGCATGCATGTCTGGCCTCTCACATCTTAAACATTTGCCTTTTCAGATGGAAAAGTGAAGAAAGAGAACCACCCTTCAGCCCTCAGCCCCAAACGTCAAATAGTGACGCACAAGTATGCAACAGATAAATAAAATGACGACCGCATGTTGTGGTCAGATTTGTTCACAACATTTGACTTTTACAGTATTCTTTTCTGTTGGGAAAAGACCATGTCACAGGCATTTATGGAGGGAAAGTTAGGTAACCCAGCTTTATGTCAGCTTACATCTTTAGAAACAGATCTGTGAAGAATATTTCCATAGTTTTATTGTCGTTTGGGTAAATCCTCTCTGAAAATTACTAATGAAATAATGGTGCTAGTAAAAATCTGATTTAGACCATAAATATTGGGTTTTTATAGCACTATCCACGTTTAAATCTCCGCTCTCTGGAGTTTGACCCACTGGCCTGGAATAGACGTCTTTGATGTAGTGAATGTGTCTACACTTCCTCCTCTGCAGCGGTTTCCAGGGCGATACGGTGCATCCACATAAAGAAACGCAGCCTCCTCCTTTCCACTTCCAAGGACAAACGTGAATGTTTTGTTCTGGAAGTCCTTCAGTCGCCGGAGATTTTACTGAAAGGACCGGTGTTGATTAAATTGAATACAAGGGGGCTGCTGAGGAAAAAACAACACATAAAAGAAAAGGCTTCAAAAATATATTTTAAATCAGTGCCATTTTGAAAAAAGCTACAAAAAAAGATGGTCCAGGCCAGAGATTATGTTTATGATTAGTCAAGCTGCTTTATATGTTTTAATCTATGGACAATATTTATCTCTGGAGCAACTTTCACAGATCAGATTTAAAAGATTTAAAAGATGTAAACCGAATGAACTCGATAGTGACAATATTCACTTGTAAGTAAGTAAGTAAGCTTTATTTATATACCGCCTTTCACAGACCAGAGTCACAAAGCGGTTTACAATTGCTTTTTTTTGGGGCACTTGTCCTCTCACTCCACACAGAGATGGGAGCGGGGTCGCCGAACAGGAGGCGCATGCTAGACCTATTGCACATATTTTTAGTGGTAGGGGAAACCGGAGTACCCGGAGGAAACTTACGCAAACACGGGGAGAACATGCAAACTCCACTCAGAAAGGCCCTGGTCCGGCTGGGATTTGAACCCAGGACCTTCTTGCTGAGAGGCGAGAGTGCTATCCACTCAGCCACCGTGCCGCCGACTTGTTTGGTCACATGGGGCAAACATTATGCATTTTTAACTAGTGTGAACGTCCCTAAGGTGCACTAGTTCAGATTCATTTTTTATTTGCCATGTGCAGTATGAAAACCACATTGGAATACATTTTCAAAAAAGGTACTTTGTGTGCACAAACAGAATAAAGAGCACAATACATATAAATACACATACAAATACACTTGATAAATAAAAACAGCTGACACTGTGGCACCGATCGACATAAAAAAACCATACAAGGAGAAAAAGCAGCAATTAAAGTGCTCTGTTTAGGCACCTAACAGCTTGTGGAAAGAAGCTGTTAGCATAGCGAGATGTCTTGCATCTCAGCGAACAGTATCTTCTGCCAGAGGGAAGAAGCTGGAACATGGCTTTCCCAGGGTGACAAGAAGAGTCATTGATGATTTTAGAGCTAGTTATCAGTGATACAGCCGAGAGTGGGAGGCAAGACCATATTGCGCTCTCGCAACTGTCAATGTGAAAACATTAGGGCCGTCAACAAACAAGTGCCATAATATATATTTGAATACTTAAAAAAAAAACATCGATTTGAAGATGAAAATGATTAGAATCTGAAGAAATGCGGGCGTGTGCGCATAGGTGCGGCTTTGTGTGCTCTGAGGAGAGGAGCGGCTGCGGCCCCTGTGGGCATGTGGTGCTAAGCGTCAAAGACCAGGGCATTTCTTTTTTTTTTCTTTATTGAAAGCAAGTACATTATGTGCGTGGGAGCTGTCAGTCATCCCTCAGTAACAAGTCTGAACAGGAGAGAGGAGTGTCCTGAAGTATGTGACCAAAACCAGGGCCTCAGTGGCACGTGCGACCGGCTCAAAGGTTCAGAGGAAGACCAGCAGAAACTCACTCCACAAACAATGACACGCCCACATTAAACTACTATTACACAGTCACAACTTCACTGAGGATTTCTATCATCTGAATTATGTGGTTAATTGATCAGTAGAAAGTGCAGCTTTCTTCTGCGGTTTTACCAGACCCAAAGCAACACATACACATAACACTTGCATCCAATGTGCTGCATTTAAATAAATTCAAAAGTTGACAGCTATATATTTTTGGTGAAAACTACTGATAATGAGCTGAGAGAGTAGAGGCAATGAGGCCCCAGATTAAGAATACCAATGATTCAATGCAAGGAAAAAATATCAAGCCAAACAACTTCATATTAGTTACTATACATGTCAATGAATTTGCCCCTACCCTGGACAATTCCATCATTCTAAGTCTAGTTCCCAGTGGTAACAGCCAGGATCCATCCCATTTGAAAGTCCAATGTCCTGAACAGGCCAAAGTCCCTGTGCAAATATTGCGGTTTTCCCCTTACCTTCCCAGTGATCGCGGACCAGACTTTGAGTGTGTTGTCGTCGGATCCGGAGACAATGAAATCTCCACTGAACTGGAGACACGTGATCACATGGTCATCGTGCCCTTTTAGTACCTGGAAAAACAGATTAAACCATTTCATTTAATACATGAAATGGCTTTGAGAATAGGATTGTCTCTTGTATTTAGTTCGTTCTTCAACCTTCTTTCTGTTCCAGGTGAAAAACTGAAATGCTCCTTAGAAATGGAGCATTTCATTTACAAGGAGCATTTCACTACAGTACAAACTGACTCATGTTATAATTATTCCTGTCATGATAAAAAGCGCATAAAAGAGTGGGAATCCTTGTCCATTTGTCCAAGAAAAAAAGTTTTAAATAAAAAGCAGATTTCAATCATATTTAGTCTTATTGAACCTTCTACATCTAAAGAAAAGAAAATTGAGAACAAAACACAAATGTAACAAAATGTACTGACAATATAAATATATACAGTCAGTACAGATGTTAATATATGTACTGTATACATTTGTGTATATATTGCGACCCAAAAGATGACTGACATGCCAAAAGCTAAGAAATGTTTCGGTTATGTCCCCTTTAAGAAAATTATAACAAAAAGAGTGTTCATACAATCATGAGTGAATCAGTACAGCACAGACCTCTATGAGTGATTCTACTTTATTACTGACTCAGCAGCTTTGATCCCTCACTGGTCTATTGTAGCGTTGGCGCCTGCTGCGTTCAGGATTGGCTGGGACCATGGTGCTTCTCTTTGTCATCATGTTGTTGCATACCGTCTCCTTCCACATTAATGTAAGTGTTATACGTACACGGGTGGGAAGTTGTAAGTTATTCTCCGTCCCAATTAATAATCAAAACTACTGTACATGTATATACTATTTTTTGTGACAGTATCGTAAAAACTAATATTAATGTACATGATGTAGATTGGACACAAAACAAACAAATCAATCAATGAACTAAATGGCTCTTAAATATCGGAAATAGACGTTTACTGATTTGGCCGTTTATCGTACCATGGGCTCCTTCTCGTCTCCACTCCTCCAGTTGCGGTCGATGAGGTGCTGTCGGATGTACGCAGACTTCCAGGGGCTCACACACGCACTCCTCCTCCGCGCCGACGACTCCTGCTCAGAGATACCTGCAAGAACAGACCACACAACATCGAATCACCAAGAGATCTTTGTTCAATTGTATTTCAAAACTAGGGATGCCAAGATGGTTTCAGTTTTAATTGCCTGGGGTAGATAAAGTGATAGAATGGGGTCAGGGATGTGGCACCACTTAACACAGTTCCAGAATATCATTTTATTACAGCCTCTGCAATATTTTTTGTAGGAAAAAACAAAGCAATTACTAATTGCAAGAGTAGTACAGACCAGATGCAACTGTTCAGTTTTATAGTAAAAAACTAGGAGTTAAATCTAAACCAGTATTCAAGAGAAAAAATATAGACATAGTTAATGAGAGCAGGCCTGAGGGTTGAATTGAAAATGACATTTCTTTATGTATATATGGACTGGGAAACTTTTCCTTTTTTTTTCAAATTAATCACTATCATTACCAATACATTTCTAATTAATTCCAGCTTTAGATTATTAAATCATGTTTTCGGAAAAAAGAAGGCATTCATATTAATAAGTACTGCATCAAATATATATTAAGTAAAATTCTGTCATTATTATGGCCTAATAAAGCTCTGTATGTGACGCCGAGTCTCGATTTATGGGGAGACTCGGGGGGGATTGTGCCGTACAGAAGGTGTGGCACAGATGGTACAGAAGCAGCACACTCACAGAAATACAGTCAAGAGGGGAAACTAGGTGATAGGAACGATTTGTTTCCATGTAATTAATGTGAACAATTGATGCGATGAGTGAACACATTATTCTCCCGGCCAGAGCATAAATACACGTGTTTGCTTCTGCAGCAGAGTTCATTAGTATTTCGGCGGAGGCTTGTGGTTCATTGGTATGAGAGAGAGCGGAGACAGATCTGGCTCTGAGCCCACAGGGAAACACTGCTGCAATGCAGCGGCTCAGAGAGGGCTGGACCAAAACATTTACTATGAGAGGATCAGTCGTACACAAACCTTAGAGCTACTCTTACTATGAACACATTTCACGTTACACTATGACCACACTATGACCACACCGCAAACACTGAGTGACGAGTGTCCCATTGTTAGCGTTAAAATATTCTTTTACCTCAGAAAATTAGTTCAGAAATAACCAAGGATAATAGGATTATATTACTATAGGGGAACAATTATGTATAATTGACTTTTTGGACCAATCAAACTCGATATATCAGTGCTCACATGACATGATATTATCATCCACCAATTTTCATGTATCATGTATTGGCCTTTAATTCTGTGCTCAAAGAAATGCATTTTATAAAAAGTTATGGAGACTTTTCAATACATAAAACATTATGTACATTTCAGAAAGTCAACGAGTAGTTGAGCAGTTTTACTTCAAACTAATCACACAGTGGACATTTATAATCAGGATAGATGTGTGTTCCCTCAGAAAAAGCACAAGTCACCAATAGTTAAAGCCTTATTGTCCACATCAGCAAAACAGTGAATGTGGAAAGTGTATATGTAGTTTTCACACTGCGAGATCTTTCTGTTGCATTATTCATACAGACTGACCCTCAGCGTAAAGGCTTACCCTCCTCTCTGCACTTCTCTCTCCACAGCAGGTTGTCTTCAGCCAGTATCCTCCAGTATCGGCAGGTCTGACCCGCCTGCAGCAGGTCTCTGGGAGCCAGGAAGGTGAGGACGTACAGGGCCAGCTACAAAGACACATCACAAGTTTAGCTCGCGTTCATTCTCCTTTTAGTGTGAAAAATGGCATGCAAGTGGTATAGACTGAGCTGTTTTAAAAGACACCTGTTACAGCATTAACTATTAGTATGCTATGACAAATCCTTTACGACATGATTAGATAGTTTTGAGAATTACTCCAGTCATATTACATACTTTACAACTGTGTGTGTACCATACCATTTTCAACATTCACTAAAATAGCAGAATGCGATTTCCCACTTCCACCACTAGATGGAAGCATTTTCTCACTTTGGAGCCATATAGTGGCCGTAATAAATTTATTCATTCAATTTCCCAATCCAAAAAATTATGACGTTGCAGAACTGAAGTTGACTGGATGATCATGTGAACTTGTCTTCGTGAACTTTAACATGAAACCTTGTCCGATTACGAAAGACTCCGACAGATAAAAATTGGTCGTTCCCAAACATCACTACTGTTATAAAGTGAAGAGGCGTACTTCTTTGGGCAGCAATGAGATGAAGTCCCTCTGAAACTGCGGCTCGATCAGCTGCATCATGTGTTTGACCTGCGTCGTCTCGCAGCGATCGATCAGTTCGTCCAAAGCCAGGAGACGCTCCGGGCCGCTCCACGTCTATAAAACCCCACAAAACAAACACTCTTCATCAGATTCAGATTCAGATTCAGATTGATTCATTTAAAACTGTGCAAGACTACCCCGGTGTGTATGTGTTCATACATCCGGACCATTTTGAAATAGATTCCTGCAGCTTCCCACTTAATAAAAGTTTTAACCCCAAAAAACAGAGACATTGAATAATTGTTTAAAATAATGTGGAAAGCGGAATAGAATGAGAAAATTTGCTACTGGGTCAAGCTACAGATGTGGGAGAAAACACTACATCAGTCATATCGGTGGTGATTTTCCATAGATTTTATTGTAAACTGTTATCTTGTTCCATTTTTGTTACAATCAATAATTCAGCTTCACTGTAACGGACATCAATTGAAGGTGGGCCTTGTATAGACCTGCAAACAGTCGTGCATTGAAATGTTAAATTTCTGGGCTACACACGTTCTGCACTCTTCACCACGTGCCAGGAGCTGCTTTATTAAGGGCGTAACGTTACATGGTCCCCACACGCATCATGAAACAATATTGCTGGCACTTTACACCTTGCTTAGGGACCACGATGGAAAGCTAGCTGTGTAGCTAATACTGGCACTCTATATACACTATTCAGATAAAAGAAATACAATTAAAGAAGTAAAATAGTTTCTGAATCAAACTGTGAAACTTATGAAGCATGACACTTATATGTTACACGCTGAATAAGATGTCTTTTGCTGTTAGAGAACAGCCATAAAACTAAAGACAATAAGCAATAAGCAACAAGCATAGATGTGTTCATTCATTAACTCAGTCCATAACAAAACTCGAGAAAAGCCACATTTGTGTAGTTTCTCTTCGTTACGTAATGCCCCCGGAGGCATGAGTACATGAGTAGACATGAGAACAGTGGATCCCTCCGGTCTTCTAAACTGCGCTGTTATGTCACGGTTCTTATAGTCGGAAAACATTTGAAAAGCACAAAAACATCAAGGTTCTGGGAAACAATGTACTTAGGACCCAGATCACTAAAATATCATTAAATGAATTGTCTCTAATCTTAAGAGTCAGAAGAACTGTACAGGACTTGAGATGTACTGCAAAGCTAGACTTTTATAAAACAAAAATTGATCCTTTAAAAAGAGGCTAAAACTAATATTGTTTATGATGATGACCTGGAAGGTGCGCAGCCAGTCCTGCAGTCCTGTGGGGGGTGGGCCTGAGGTGACACGCCTCCTCTGAGCTGAATGCCCGTTGGCCACTCGCAGGTCCCCGAATGTGGTGGGCGTTGCTGGTGCCAAACTTGCTGGACTGAGGAGAAGAGACAAAGTTTGTCACATGAGGATTATAAAAAAAAAAAATAAAGAGATATATATATATATATATATATATATATATTATATATTATACATGCATACACACACACACTTGCACAAAAACACCTAAATATGTCCAATTCAATATACTGTTATGCCAAAAACACCAATGGAGACCCAGTTCCTTGTCTACAACAGTGGGTTTAGTCTCTTCTTAAGCCCCATAAATCCCCTTTCTCCATTTGAAAGAAAATGGTAATAATTAAGATTGAGGAAGGTTGTGACATTTCAACTTTTGGCACATGTGATTGTATGAAAGTAGTAATAACAATACACGGAAAGGAACTCACCTGAGATAGCCATTGCCTTTGCAGTGCTTCTTCCCTGTAGGAAACGGTCGACCATCTGGACCATGGTCTAATTTCCTCTTCATCTGTTTAAGAAGAAAATACAATGTTTAAAACGAGTACAAGATCATAAAAGTCACATCAGCCTTGAAAATAACTATGTATGGGTCACAGTCGCTTCAGAAACTCAAAAGTTTAATGTTTAAGCTGGAGCACCGAACATGAGTTAGATTCCTAAACAGAAAGGAGAACACAACAGGTTTTCTTATAAAACATTTCATCCTTTAGATACTGAAAGCTGATTGGCTGATCCAGTGTGGGCTGATGTGACAATGACAAAAATACATGCATTACAATTACATACATGCATAAAATCTTGTTTCAAAGTTAGGTACTCCAGCTTTACGTATAGAACAGAAAATACAAAATATAAAAGTTTAACTGATACAAGAAAATATATGAATAGCAAAAGTGGATTCTGGGTGTGCATCAGTGTCATTGGTCAGTTTGGACACTCACGATAAAAAATTTTGCTGGACGATTAACTGTCTCAGAAATTATTGCGATAAGCGATAATATTGTCGTTCTGAGATCATTTTCATCTAATACAATGATTATGATGCAGGTACACTTTTTCAAAGAGAAATAAACTTTTATTTTTAAAGACCACCGCCGGAATTGGTGGAAGTAGAGGGAGTAGCATGCGGGCTTTGATGCTAACGGAGTTAAGCTAGCGGCTTTTTGTGTAAATTTCTTCGTCAAGAATGCAGCTCTGCAGCGTCTGTGTCCAGAGACCTTCCAGAGACTTTATATAACAACAGTATGTGTTCACAGAGGTGCGCCATAAGTTTATTTTATTATTAAACGGTACTTCCGCATTGGCGAACACGCTAACGCTAGCTGCGCTAGTTTAGTCACTACCAGAGCCTGAATGAGAACAACTACTGTGTCCCCCATTGTCAGTCCTGGTTGAGTCCTGGTTGAGTCCTGGTTGAGTCCTGGTTGAGTCCTGGTTGAGTCCTGGTTGAGTCCTGGTTGAGTCCTGGTTGAGTCCTGGTTGAGTCCTGGTTTAGGTCCTGTTTTGGCTGTATTCTGTATTTGAGTTATTTCAGTCTGCTATGTTCCCGTGACCACTTTGCAGCTCTCTGACTCGAGAGAGAGAGGGAGAGAGAGACAGGGAAAACAAACAAGCATGCAAATGGAATTCATCACGGCCAGAAAAATTATTGAGCTACTCTTAATTATCATGCAATTAATTGATTTATTGAATATCACGACAGGCCTATGAATATCGCGACAGACCTCGGTTTAACCATCTCAATGGTCTATATTCAGACTTATAATAAAGTCAAAAACATATTTGAACCAGTGACCTTTACATTAGGAAACATAATGACTTACAATTAGGGATGTACCGAATCCAGGATTCGGTTTCGGATTCGGCCAAATATTGGCTTTTTGGACGGGGTTCGGGTTCTGGCCTGTGATGGCAAGCAATTAGCATTCATGCAACTACAGGAAGGAGCAACTCTGCCTGTTTCTATTGTGTTATGTTCTTGCCCCAGGAAGGGGCCAGGCCCCGACACCTACAGACAATGGCGTAAACCACTGTCTCACTCTCGCCCCCCTTTTGCCTCTTACATATCTATGGCCAAATTGTCTTGTCTGTTCACACCCCCATGCAACACACACCACAGGAGATGGCGCTGCGAGCAGGGTGAGCAGCCTGTGGCCCGCTCCCATCTGTTTGTGGGCGTGACTGTCCTTCATGCATTTTCTATGTTTACAGGAGACTGGGGGCTCGGCCCCCAGAGCTAGGATATGCGACCTCTTGGTATGTGTTTGCTGCTCTCCTCACGCGCGTGTGTTTAATAAACTTACGCTTTTGATTATGACAAACATCTTTGAGTTTTTCTACTGCATTGGGGTGTTTTATTCCTCCACAATTTGGCGTTGCTGACATGTCTTGGTATGGACACTTTTGGCGAGGACGAGCGGCTTTGTTTGGCCGACCTGGAAACACCAGCCTCTGCTCTATTTGGAGACAAAGGAGAGGAGAGCATGCTCGTCCTGCGCACGGAAGGAGTCTTTTTGCCACACAAGACCAAAAAGAACCTAATCTGGTGAGTTTGTCTTTTCAACTGCGTAAACGAGCCCAGGGCAGCGCTTAAGTGTACACGGGGATTTGTTTATTTATGTATTTTTGGGGTATTTCATTCACCGCCACAGCATAGACTGTGCGGGATTTTTTTGGGGTCTTTTTGTTCTAGATTGAAGCTAGCGGCTGCGCGTCAGTATCGTCCTGTAGACGACCCTGATTTCTCCTAGTGTCTTCAGCCGGAACCGGTCCATTTCAAGAACGCGCGCTCGTTGGGTATATAGAACCCACGGGGGGGGAATGGAGCGCCCCAAAGTGGGTAAGGAGCAGGGAAGAGACTGAGCGGGTTAGGCCTATTGTTCTTACAAGGAAATGGGTAAAAATTCAATCTAGAGATGCAAGCTATGCTATATGTCTCCGAATCATTTACGCATCTTGCGTGATAAACTTAGAAGAAGAAGGGAAAAAAAAATATACTTGGTTTTAAGAATATCACGGCTAAAGAGGTTAGAGAAAGAAATATGTAAAAACAATAGCTCCTCCGCTTTTCACCGAAAGCGGAGAAACACACAGAACACACACACACACACACACCCCCCACCCTACCGCCCCTTTCCCCCTACTAACAATAAGTGTGCACCCAAACAAGGCGTTGGGTTTTTAAAAAATGAGCAGACTACTTTTCCCTCTTTTTTTTCCTATTCCCTTCAGGTCTGTTGGCGCTTTCCTCTGCGCCCTGCCCTCTGCCCCAAAGCCCCACGCCCCAACCACAGGCGGCGCTAGCACCAGCTGAGACCCCGCGAGAAGTGGGCCCAAACCCGGGAGCAGAAGAAGAAGTGGCGGAAGTAGACACACGCTCAGGAAACCGCTGAAGAAAAAACGGGGGAAGCTAATATGTGAGACACCGACCACTGCTTTGGAGGCCAGAGACAAACTGCTCTAAATCCCGTGACTGTTCTCCACGGAGGGGGCAGCGTGATATACCAAATGCCCGTGGAAAGTTGTTCCCCCACCGCAAACAGAAGAAGCCATTGAGCACAGGCTGCCCCTGGTCTCTCCAAGATGTCTGCCCCTATTAAAAACGTGTTTACAGGATGGACCAAAAGTTGTCTCTTGGATTTTTAAATCTGTAGATGCTACCTGGGCCTGCTGCGGACTTTGAAAGACTTCTACAGCCCGGCTGAAAGATGTGTGCTCGATATGCGTCGAAGGACTGTACCGGAGGAGGCGTTAAAGGCAGACACACGGGGACAGAGGAGTGCAGAGGCGGGCACGGAGGAAACACGAGCCACGGACCAAACCCGGGTTCACAAACCCACCAAAGCGACCGCTCATGTAAGTCTTAAACAAATTGCAATTGGCACTCGTTAGAGATAATTCATGCTGAATTCCCGTATATACATATACGCAACAATCTGTGGTGTAAAAGTTAAAATCCTGGATGATTATTGGTCCGTTCTAAAGTGAGTGGTCGCTTTACACAACTCAGGGCTTTAGTTGGGGATGGGGAATTAATCGATTTTGATCATTGGTTCGAGTTTTACATTTGGGGTGATTTATTTTCTTTTAAAATTCGATTTAACTACAGCGCTAACGCGCTAACCGCGGGTCTATGGTGTTGAACAGCCATTTTGAAGCTAACCTAATGCTAACAGTCTCCCTCTGGCCTGATGCTCGCTCTCACAGTTGGTGCTGTTGCAATAACACTTCAAACGTTCAAGAATCAGACTTTATTTAAATCGCCAGAGCACACACTCGTGTCCCACTGAGCCGCTGCACGCCTCACAAAATGCTCTCATTGCTCTGATACAAACAACGTGGTCCCCGCTAGCTGTTAGCTACAGTAGCTGCTACAATAGCCGTTAGCCACAGCTACAGAATGTAAACAGGAAGCTCGCACAATGCGGAAGCCACTGAAGTTAGCAGTAGCGCCACCAGCTGGACCGAGCGTTGTACTACAGGCACAGTTGAAAGAACAAGCATGTACCCGAGGAGGCTTTTGGAACAGAGTGTCCTTTAGAACATTTCTATTTCGAGTCATCAGTTTTTAAAATTGTGATATTTCATGTAAATAATGCATGTGCTTAATAGGATTGATAGATTTGCGATGGACCTCTTTGTGTGATTTAAGTTATTTGGAAGGTGCATAGTGTCATTGTAAGTGAAGTTATTATATACCTTTAAGCTACATTTTCGTAACAAGAGCTCATTAGAGATATAGGGGACACAACCATTTGTGATAAGCCCAAGCATAGACCACGTGGTAAACACTAACAGTTGGAAATGGATTTCTTTTTTTAGGAAAAAATCTTTTAAAAAGCTTTGCATGCTCTACAGGCTCTGAAAGTTGCAACAATACAAATAGCTCATGAGGCAATTGTAATTGGACATGGAAAATATAACAAAGTTAAAATTACAGGCCTTTTGTGTGTGTTACATGTTTGTGTTACATGTTTGTGTGTTATATGTTTTGTGTACGTTATATGTTTGTGTGTCATGTCAAAGTACACTACGTGACCTTAACAAACCCTGGACCAATACTAACGTGGGAACCGGCCTGTGATGTGAGTGTGGTGTGAAATGAGGAGTGAAATGAGGAATGCTGAACGGAGAATGGAATTACAAATGTGTCTGTAATGCTTTACTGTGATCATGGAATAATTATTTTTGTCAACAGCATACGGTGTAAGTCAAAGATAACAAGCTTTACTGAACAGGTGTACAAGTGAGAGTACTCTGGGATGAGTACTCTGAGAAAAGTACTCTGCGGAAAGTACTCGGAGATGAAATATGAAGATATTGGAAGTTCCTCCCTCTGCTGTTTGTCCTGACAGCGACACAGTCCAACCGCAGTGAGCTGTCGTTGGCTGAAGGACAACTTGGTTTGTAAACTCACATTTAGGGGAGTATAAAATCAGAAACATACATTTTGTTAAGTCTGTATTTTGCTTCTGCCCTGATGTCAAACACCGTCTGTCAATGCAGTTA